AACACGTGCAGGAGACCGACGGACTGCCCACGGAACTGCAACGTGCGGCTGTACAGCGCAAGCAGAACGCTAGACGGCCAAACAGACAGGGTCTCTACGTCTGTGCGGTAGCGCGCTGTTGCTGATGGAGACGGACGTCTCGATCAGGTTACCGCCACAACATCACCCCCCCCACCACCCACCCCACCCCGGAGCGATAGTGTCGGGGAATGCACGACTGGTCCTGCTTTTGCGCCGCATTTTCCCGGCACCCACCTCAGGCGCAACAGGCCATCGATGCTGACGATCTCTCCCCGCAAAGCAGAAAGATCATTGTGGCAATGTCTTCGCTGCCGCTGCGTCGCTGGGTCTCGCGTGGGCGCCTCCACGGCCTGGGGGAGCTGCGCAAGCTTGCGCTGCCGCAGTGCCCACCAGCTGTTAAATGGCGCGCCCCACGCACGTCGAGAATGCGGTGAGCTTCGAGAGTGGTCCTCAACGCGGCCACTGAAGTGCCCCCAGCTTCTTGAAGGGCCGTCCGCAGCGCGGCCGCCCCAGTCAAACCCACACACGCAGAAACTGTCAGGCGTCAGTCACAGAGGATCCCGGTGACTTGCGGTTGCCACACCAGAGCGACGGCACGCACGATGTCGGACGGAGGTACCTCAAGTGGGTGTGATGCATTTCACCTTATGTCATGTGGGTGTCACCTTCGCGCGGCACAGCCGGGCAAAAAAGAGGCTGCAACGGGAGCCCACTGCTTAGCGCTGACGCGAAGAGTGCGCACAGAAAATCACGCGCCGGGCTCAGGCCCACCACGTGGTCCCATCCAATGACGTGACCTCCTTCGGTCAATCAGCTGATCGATGTGCGCCCATCCAGCCTCCTTTAAGCCCCACATGCGCAATCTGACGACCATCAAAAACGCATCACAGCTCGACGCCGCACTATATTTAGCATTTCCACAGACGACACGGCGATCGATACTTTTTTGTACAGCGACAAAAAAATAAAACGACGTTGCTGTGGAGGAATGCGGAACACAAATGTGTCGCAGAAGAGTAAGCGACGCCTACGTCTCTATCGTGGTTATTGGCGGCGTTCAAATGACTCCTGCGTTGGGGACCGAATCCCCGTGCACAGTTCCGACCATTGGTCTGGGACGCCCTTGTTGGGCTGCCACTAGCACGGGGGGCGCCCCGCAAGAATGTCGCCGCAAGGGGCGTGGCCACGGAGGTCGGAGGGCACCTGGCCGCGAATGCCGTGTTGTGGCTTGCGCTGCCCATCTCCGTCGACGCCGGACTCCAGATGCAAGGCGCGATAGGTGAACGGGAACGCCACGACTGAGTCGCTTTTGCTTCCGCAATTCTTGAATAATTCCCACGCGGTCGACGCACGCGATGTGCTCACGGGCGATCTTTGCATTCATCCATTGTTAATCACGCCATGGCCCTACGGCTTCATGCTGCAATCGAGCAACGGGCTGGCCACCGTTCGAGCGCGACCAGAGGAGGGTTTTCGCCAGGCTTCAAAATGCCACCCGACATTTCTTCGCGGCGTGAGGTTCATGCTCCGCCGGCAGGGGCGATGCGGAACGAGAAAAACAAACGGGCGACCCCGTTGAGGGCTGCGCGGATATATACCCCCCTTGAACAGCGACGCAAATTTTCGAAATGCGGAAATGCTATATACGGTATGCTGCTTCCGCTGAAAAGAAACTGGGGCTTGGTGGTTGGAAGCACATAATTCCTCGATAGCCGCCAGCCACCCACTCCATCGTTCCATTGCACGTTTTGTACTTCAAGAGGAAGTAGAACAATGGGGTCATATGCTGGCTCTGGTAGTCGACTTGGGGTTGATGGCTACACGATGCCACATGTGCCACAAGTCATCCTTGATGGGTATTACATCCCTCTTGCATCATGCGGATTACAGGAGACACTGCCTCAATTTGAAACGAAATTAATAACCCCACCCCCAGCCCCCCTCCTCTGGGTAAGTTCTTGTGACACGCGTTAAACGCGACGTTGTGTGTAACGGCAGTACAGTGTGCCTGAAACAAGACAACGAGGGCTACGAAGACACGCGCTGCTATCACATTTTCGTCGACGATCTATTCGCGATGCTGCTGAGCGAACATTGGGTGGTCAACTGTTGTTTCGTGTATTGCGATCGCTGTCCATGTCCGCGACATGTTGCTCATTACGTGGGTGAACCACCACCACACAAAACTAACAAATATGGAAATGAATTGTGTCATGACAGAATTTTTTGAGAGAATTCAGCGAAAATCTGATGTCGTCACATGTTTCCACCATTTTTCAACAAAGGCAGACAAAATGCTCGAGTTTCAGCTCAATGGGCTGGAACTCGAGCGTTTTGTCTGCCTTGGTTGTTCGAAGCTGGGTTCTTCAATTGCATAGGTGTCCAATTTGTGATAGAATGTCCTGTTTTTGGATATGCGGAAGCCTTCAGAGTTTTACGATGAAAACACAGGGACGTTGTGCATTTCAGGTATAGAAGATTTCATCAGATTTTCAACAATGAATCTTGTGGGTTGGATCTGAGGGCCTTCCTGCAGCTTTACCAAAATCAGATCATTGGTTTGTTTTTAACTTTGATTTGCAAGATTTGCCTGTCCTGCATTTTTTAAATTGTTGCTGAGTCGAATAACCATGGCCACACCAATGATCGGTGTTGTTACAAGTGCAGTGTCCCGGTGGCGCCCTGGATTTCGAAGACAACATTGTTTACTTTCCGTCATTATTTTGCTTTGCTGTTGCCGGAGTGTAGACGTTCAACGAAATCTAGAATTGCTGGAGGGGTGCCGCATGGCAAGCGTACAGTGAGGTTCTGACTGATCAACATGGATAGCGCCTCGCAAAATCCGCACAGATTTCCCGCCCAGATCCGCTTTCACTGCAGGTTCTTGGGCCGGCAGCTACAAGGCGCCGATCAGTGAAGGCCATTGCTGACCAAAAATCTGTCGCAGATTGCCGACGTCCGTGCTCTCACTGTACTGCCAGGGGACCGCACACCCTGACCACCACGCTGTCCGTGCAATTGCTCCCTGCGACAATAACCCGCCAATACCGCTATGCGACATGGCCCTTGTCTGACACAGTCGCGGGCGTGATGTGCGCACACATTGCAAAGGCCGTTCTGGCTACTTCCTAGCACATTCTGCTTCTAGTGCAGTCATGTAATCTCAGGGCGTCCACACCCTGGACCCTTTCCCCCTTGGCGTCCACTGAGCGCTGAGCATGCTACTTCCCTTGGCAAACATGATTGGCGATCGTAATGACCGACGGCCGCCGACGTAACATGAGCCAACATTATTTCCTCATTTCGCACGTTGAGACAATGCTACTCAGACCATCCCACACGCCAAGCCGCGTGCTTTCGTGCACATTCCAGTCATCAATTTACACGTACGTGATCAACTCGGCAGAGCGTCAGGTATTGCACAGCAATTTTTAGCACAGCTAAGAATAACAATATCGCATCATGGCACATGGGACACAGCAAACATAGGCCACCTCGACCAGCCCAACTGTCGTGACTTAAATGTGGGTGACGGTTCAGCGACACATCCACGAACAAAAGCATGGATGGCCGAGCCCTGGGAGGGGTCCAAACCATTCTTCGGACGTGATTTCATGCTGTCATTTGGCCCCACACATGTTTTGTCTGTATTCTCTCCTTTCTGTCCCGGGTCCCTGGCCACTACTTATGCAAAGCGTGCATGCCTCTGCCATGTCTGCTAGGGACGGGTGAAAGAGTGACAACGGGTGGCAACAGAATAGCTCGATTGTCATTTGGTGTTTCAGCTGAACCCTGGCATGCCTGGATGTCCTATGCCGACTTCAAAGCCTCTGGTTCTTGATGAGAAATTCCATGCCGCTGCCCCAACAAGCATGACAAGGCACTCGCCCCAAGATGCAGAGGCCATGGCTCAGCAGGAACTGACAATGGGAGTTGTTTACAAACATAAAGCCAGAGATCATTATTGATCCATCGTTTGCAAACATGCCGTCGAGGTACCCTGCACCCTTGCCATCGCAACACTGTGGAGCACTCGACGATCCCAAATGAGAGCACACAAGCTCCAAAACAGGACACCACACACCTTGGGAACCATTCTACAAGTGTTCACAGAACAACACAATATGTTTGTCTTCACCAAGTCGAAAACTGCTCACAGAGAACACAGCAGACCAACTGCAGAACTCCATCTGCTGAAAAGGATCTAGAAGCCACATTGTATCAATGGTGTCAACGCATGGACTTTGCAAGGGCCGCAGTTTTCCACCAAACACCCCCTTATCGCCCCAAACAAAAGCCAACCACAGACATCGGCAACGAAGTACAACACAATTCTTAAAAGGTGTTTGACAGTGCGTTCACCTGCTCCAAGAGATAAAAGAGGCATCTAGAGTTCAGCAACTTTGTTAGTGTGAACATCGGGTAACGCACAGTACAAAAACCAGCCCTGCAAAACACCCAGCTGCAGGCGACACAGACCCAACTTCCTTCAAGGAAGATCCCTTAGTCCCATACCTGGACACCAACTGCCCCGTCTATGACACTCGCCAGTTGCCCTGACAACGTTCTACTCTAGCAAATCGGGATTCCCGGAAAGACAGAGGCAGAATATCCGTGCACCAACGAGCACGGCATTTCTCAGAGCGCGCAGTGCTAGCACACCCTCATTCATCCCGTCAGAATCCCATGGGCGTATCGCAACTGCACAGCGGCCGTGCCCAACACTCCGCACAGCGCCGTGCCCAGCACAGTCGATGGAACTGCCGAAACAGCAAACACCAAGTCGTGGACCCCACCTAGGCGAACCCTCCCACACACCCAGCGGTCCCCAGACCCTTCCCCACCCTACACTACACCAGCCACGATCACCGAAGCTCATCCACCCCGCATCGCTGCGGCGCACCTGACGCGTGAGCCACCCACTCGCTCCCTACTCTGGCCACTCCAACGTGCCCATTCCTCAAAGGACCGTTTGACACTCAGCGCGACAGCGCCTTGACGGTCTGCAAGAGCGCACCGCCCACGTGCTTTCCGAACAATTGGTCTTCGATGCTGGCAACGCCGCCGTCAGGGGATGGCGGCCGGCGATACGTCCCCCGAGGGACGGCGGGGGGGTCCCCAACAAATCCCACGCACTGCTTCACCAGTTGGTTCTCGCGGTTCAGCTCCGCGTACTCCACCTCCAGCCGACGGACCTGCCACAGGGCAAACGGCAACGTTGGCGCACATTTTAGAGGGGGCGAGGTGCCCAACGCCGAGCTTGACCGCCGCGTCGGTTCCCTCAACGCCCGACCCGCAAACGTGCCCGCCAATCAGCAGGGCCTGAAAGCACGACCGTCACCACTGATCCGTGGACAGAAGACAACGACACATCCCCCCGTGTGATACCAGCCCAGTCAAATGGAGACTAATCCGACAGACAGGCGACTCATCGCGCTGTGCACGGAGGGGCCAGTCAGCTGAGGTGAGTCACGACCCGTCGACGGCGGGTCACCGCGGCGGACTCTCACACTCCTCGGCCGGCCAAGATGCCCGTAACGAGATGTACAATCGTACTGAGTGCGCCCTCATCGGGCAAGCTGACTGGCGCTCCTCCGCCCACCCCCGGAGTCCGCAGGGCCCTACGCCATCACAGCTTCAGCGAGGTTCCCCTCTCCCCCCGCTGACATGCCCACGCCAACGCCCGTGTCGCTCCCGCCCGCCCAGGCCACCTCTCCCCACTCACCCTGTCCTTGAGCCGCGTTAGCTCCTCCTCCAGGCCAAGGATCCTGTTCCTCTGGCGCTCCCTGAAATTCCGCTGCGCCCGCCTGTTCCTCTCCCGCCGCTTCTCGTCCTTGGATATCGGCACGTCCTGGAACGGCCCGCCCTCGCGCCTGCCCCGCGCCTTGCGCAGGGCGCCGGATGCCGGCGCCACATCCTCCGCCGCGTTGTTCTCCAGGCCCGACATCCCATCCGCGGACGCAAAGCTGCGCACGGGGCGAGCCAGGCCGTTAGACGGAGCGCGACCCGGCAAACGCCGCGCACGGGCAACCTCACACTCCAACCGGACCAAGACATGCGAAGCACGAGGGACCAGACACGCGAGGAGCAGGGCCGCCCAAATCCAGGAGGACAAACGCGGGAGCCGGTCGCCACTCGCGGTCAGATCGCGCCCCGCGCCCGTCTTCACGATCGATCTCGCGCACCTGGGGTCGGTGTCGGCGCTGTCCTTCCCGGAGCCCCCGGATCCCTGCGGGCCGGCCGGCACCGTATCCGTCGCCGTGCAGGCGGGCGGCCTGACGGCCAGCCGGCCCCCGCCGGGCCTGACCCCGAGAGCCTGGTCCTCCCGCCGGGGCATGCCATCCGGTAAGTACTGGCTAAGCAGCGATGACAACAGGCTCCCGTCATGAACGCCCCTCACGGGCGGCTGACGCACGACCGGCTGGGCGCCTGGCGCCACCATCCGGTACTCCACCCGCCCGACGTCCTCCGGCAGGAGCACGAAGACCGGTGCATCGGCCCCGGGGGCATCGCCCGCGGCGGGAGGGGGCGGGGGCTGCACCACCACCTGCTGCGGCGTCAGCGCCCTGCCTACATCCGCGGGCGCCACGCCGCACACGTTCGGCGGCAGCAGCAGCGTGACGGGCATGGACAAGTTGCCCGGCCCGCCCTCCCACGCCCGGGCGCCCTTGGCCTCCATGGGGACTGAGCGGCGCTGGGCCCCTCCGACAACGGGGTGTGCGCGCTCCGCCGCGTTTGAGGGATTGCGGTCTGCCGTGTGGCGCCCAACAATACAGGGCTGTCAGGGCGCTCCAGCCAAATGCGCGACCGACTCCCCGTGGGTCCCGGCGGAGGCACACGTTTTGACGTGAGTGCGTCAGGACGGGGAGGCGGTGGGTAAGTCTGACCGGGTGAGGCGGGGCCGTCACGGGGGCGCGTTGCGTATCAGATCGAAGGCTGCGTATCGTGATGACAAGGGGCGAGCGCAACGTACTCGCTGGCCCTTTGCGCCATTCTCGGTTGACTCTGCCCGATTTGTGGCAGGGCGGGTGGTACGTTGGTTGCGGAGCGATCCTGCCGACACTGACTTTGTCATCGGAATGTTCATGTCGAGCCGGCATGACAGAGGGTGACCCGGACGTCACCTCGCTGCGGGGGGCGAATCAAGCTTCGGTGGCTCCCAGACGAGGGTCCGTCCTCTGCCGGTACCAGCACGGTACTGCTTGTTGAAGGCAACGCGCCCGTTTGCGGCCGCTCTTCCCGCCGCGCTTCCACGAGAGGAGCGGCGAGCGGGCGGCGCAGCGGCGACAGCCGCCCTAACGTGCGCAGGCTCCTTTGATCGCGCCGCATCGGCGTCGTTTTGCGGCTTGCTGCAGCGCACTGCAAAATTCAGATGATCGGGGATGCCTCGCTTGAATTCGCGCGCGGCCATCATCGGCGGGTGGGTGCCCCTGCGCGGGCCGCTGCTTGCCGGCCTGTTCGCAGCGCGCGTGAGTCAGCGGCCTGACGGAGGCTGCCACCCGTGAGCAGGCGTGAAGCGCGTCGGGAACCAAAAGTGCAGCGCTTACTTGGCCTGCGAGGACTACCAATCGGCACCCATCTCGCCGCTCAAGTCCGGCAAGTACGAAATTGTTCCCGGCATTCGCAGATCTTCGCCAAGAAGGTACTACGGCCGTTGTACACATTAGTAATGACCTCGTAAGCTTTGGCATCCTGGTCGTGCCGCTGCAGCCATTTGTTTTGATGGCATTGAGATTAACTTTCGCGTCCATGATGACGTCGACGATGTTAGCTGTCTTTTGTGACGCCCCCAAATGACCCCGCCGTTTCGCTGGGCGCAGCACCTGTGCCACGGCTAGTGACAGGACCCCACTTGAAACACGTGACTGGCTGAGTGGGATGGATTGAGCTAGGGAAGAGAGTATGTCGATTTGGTACGCTTAGCGTCAAATTGACGGGAGGGGGGACTTGTGAAGCTAAGAGATCATTAATTGACACAAAATCGACACTAGGAAGGAAGGTGCCCAAAAACGCCACTGATAAACGGGAAACAATCCCTGACATGTTCCCTAAGCCTGCTGCAAGTGTTTGGTCTTCAAAGAAGGCCTTAGAATGGATCAATTTGCAGCCATTGAGGCTGCCCGCCTCACCTATAATGCCATGTAGAACCCCATTTTTCTACCCGCTGAAATCAGCGAAACTTTCATTGACTTTCTGCTTGGAAACACCTGGAAGTTGAATACCACTATTAGGTGATGTTGCTGAGTCATCCTGGTTTCGACACAAGGATTGACGCTAAGGAGAGGGGTGGGGTGGGCTGAGCTTAGCGTCGAATTGACGCTAAGTGTACCAAAATCGACATAGCGTCTTCCCTTACAGAGATTCTGGAACGCAAAAAAGGCTTTGCGCAAAAAAATTGAAAGGAAGTGGCTTTCTGATTGGCAGGGCAAGCGGAACACGCGGCAGCACTACGCTGTGCGGCCGGCACCCAGGGCTTGGGCCCCACTATTGAGCTAGGTGAGCTATGAGGAGGTGGGCAGGGAGGGCTCTGCAGCCAGACGGATAGTCTGCTCTGTGACTTGTCGCAAATGAAATCCGTTCCTGTACATTTGCAACTCTGTGAAGTGGCGATCCGTTTGCAGATGTTTTCTTCTTGCGTTTGTGCACATCCACCGTGGATTCAGTTACAAATTTCGGGCGTTTCTTTTCTGGCAACAAGGACGGCGGGGCGCCATTCATCCAAGTCCATATTTTCCGTTCGGGATAGTCCGTCCTTGTCCCTAAGCAAGGAAGACTCTATGTCGATTTTGGTACGCTGAGCGTCAACTTGACGCTCACCTCAGACCCACCCACCCACCCACCCGGCCCCCTCCTTAGCGCCAGTCCTTATGTCGATGCAAGGATGACTCAGCAACGTTATCCAACAGTGGTATACCACATTTAAGCGGTTTTGAGGACAAAACGGCAATCAAATTTGGGCCGATTTCAGTGCACTGAAAAATGCAATTCAAAATGCCATTGTAGGCGAGGCGGGCAACCTCAATGGCTGCAAATTGATCCATTCTAAACCATTATAAGGCCTTCTTTGTCGATTGAACTCTTGCAGGAGGTTTAGGAACAATTCACGGTTTGTTTGCAGCTTACCACTGGCCTTTTGGGCCACATTCTTTCCTTATGTCGATTTTGAGATAATTACATAATTTCTTTGCGTCACCAGCCTGGACACCCCCCCGCGTCAATTTGACGCGAAGCGTACAAAAATCGGTGTAGTGTCTTCCCTAACTCTGTGAATGGGCGACCCGTTTGTGGATTTTCATTCCCTGCCGTTTGTTCACATCCTTCGCGGATTTAATGACAGATTTTGTGCGTTTCTTTTCTGGCAGCACGGACGGCGGGGGCGCCATCTATCCGTGTACATAATTTTTGCAGCTATCAGCTGCAGGTGTCCTTGCGCTCGGCAGGAGCACAGATAGGTGATGGCAAGTCTTGGCTGGCGCAGCATCAGCCGAAGACTGACCAGTTTGCAGAGCACGCCTCATCAGCAACGGGAACAACGCTCAAGCTCGCCAACCTCTGGTGCCCTCCCAGGGCTTTGATTTGGTGCAAGCACTCATCCGCTGAATCACCGAGCTTCTTGGTTGTTACGAGGAAGCCAGCCAATGACGTAGGAGAAATGGCGGACGGGCTGTGGTCTTGTTGCCTGTGGCAGCAAGCCTTGGCACTAGAGGTGCAAACTCACGGCGCTCAAAGCACCCCACCCTGCATAGAAAGCCTCCGCCTCCAGCTCATCATGCGGACAATGTAGTCGCCGCTCTAGCTGGGCCACCTGCACCTCGTCCCCCCTCCTTCACCTGGGGACCAGGGAACGGGAAACGCACGAAACTGGACACCAGTTTTGAACTGTGAATTTGGCGGGAAACGACTTTCGCGCTCCAGAAATACGAGGGGAGGAGGTGTTCGGGCGCGACAGCTTTCGCACACCGCTGAGTGCGCGGGGACTTTCTGCGCGAACAGTTTTCCTGTATTTCCATGCGAAAATTGTGTCGTGGAAATACATTTGGTACACAGTACTGGGGCTGGCAGCCGGCATGTGACGTCGCTTTCTGGCGCAGTTCAGGTCATGGAGGACATGAGGACACCGCGCTTTCTGCCTGTGTTTCTTGGAAGGGCTTGTGTCCAAGTTTGGTCGGCATTCTCCAACAGGTACCATCAACACCGACACAACAATTCTTACTCGCCGACCAGCGCCTCCCAGCCAAAATGTGGAGGTGCATCGACTCTCAAACTGACACATGATCAACACCTGCACACCTGCACCTGCCTTGGATCAACGGCGTTTGTGTATCTTCCCACGTTAAGTCGGAATTTTGTCAATTACATAATCTCCTAGCGTCAGAGGTCAGCCTCCCCCCCCCCCCCGCCCTCAAATTGACGCTAAGCGTACCAATTTCGACATAGCGTCTTCCCTAACTGCAAGCATCATATGCTGTTGGTCGAGATCGTAATTTATCTGCCATAATGGCGTAACGATGTATTAATACGTGCATGCCATATTTTCCTTGAGCACAAGAACTTGTCGGCAGTCGAACTCCTGCATACTCTGGACGCATCGGACATAATGTTACATCGAGCACGCTTTGCAGTCCAAATCTAGTTGGAACCGGCCCCCTTGGCAGTGTTCCCCGTGTAGAATTTCGGTCTTGAGTTCATTTTCTCAATCTTGTCCACCAAGCCAGCCAAGGAAAACTCCTGCTGCCCATTATCCACCTTGGTGCGCCCCTTTTCTTGCCTTCCCCTCGCTGCCACGCTAGGTTTTGGCAATCCACCATTTCCTGTTGTCCCAGTGCTGGAGCCATGGCGAGCAACCTGCTTCGTATGTGTGCCTCCAGCCAGCGATGAAAGGCGCCTCATGGGCTGCCCAGTTCGGGTCCCAAAGCCCCCGGCCGAGAGTGCTGACTTACTGGCAATCGCAGCCCAGTCCACCCGCTTCGTCTGTGCGCGTGGCGGCTCATCGGGGCCATTCTGCTGAGAATTCGAAGACCATTGCTCAGCGTGAGAGGCGCCAGTCGTGCCGTTGCCTGCTTTGGAAGTTCCTCTGCGGCACTCCCCCTGCGTGCCTGCGCGCCCCTTAAACGGGACCGTGCAATTATCTTGCCCATTCAGGACTGGTGCTGCAACTTCGTCGGTGTTGCAGCGTTTCAACATCTTCCTCCCACACTCTGTTTTGCATACCATACTACTGCCATTCTTCGGGCGATCTTGCACCTGTATAGGGGCCCCTGAAGATGCCTCAGCACGACTCCACTGCCCTCGACTTGTGGGTTGGAACGCACCGTGAACCAATGGCGCCTTTTCTGCATTCACTAGCTGGCGACTGGCCTCATTAGCTGGTACCAATGGCTTGTGCTTTTTCCCACCATTAATGTTGAGATCACAAGCTACAATTTGAGACGCGGCCGGTTGCCCACAGTCCACATAATCAGGCCGTGTTCTGCACTGAGCGGTGCCCACCTTTGTGTCACCCAAGCCCCAGGGTTTGGGAAACAACATGTCTTGTTGAACCACATCCCATCTCCTTTTCCTGGATTTGACACCTGCATTTGTTTTTTGTCCTTTCTCTGGCTTCATGGATGAAGAAAATGCAGTGCCATGTTGTGGTCCTCTCCATTCGCTGGGACTGCCTTGTACCATTTTCGTGGCCGTAGAAACTCTATTCTTGTCATGGTGGCCCATCTTCTCGTGGTGACTTTCCCTTGCTGGCCTTTCGCCCACTGTCCAAGCATTCCCTGTGGCTTCTTGCCCTCTTTCCTGGCTGCATTTCTGACTATGAGATGCGTCAAAGAGTCTTGAGAAAGGCTTTCTTGCAGTTATCACCCTGTCTCGATTCTGCGCATCATCTAGAAATGCTGACCACGCTGGACTGGCACACAGTGTCTTCAAATGGCCGATCACCCACAGTGCCTGCCTTGGGCGTGTCAATGAAACGTTCATTCGTCGAATGTCATTGACAAAGCCAATGCTGGGTGCTGGCACTTGCTTAGCGCGAACCAGTGTAACGATGACAATGTCTGCCTCCCGACCTTGAAATCCATCCACAGTTGAGAGTTCAGGCGGAGGCTCCATTGGAACTGTGGCCGCTCTCCTCAACCTGTCCTTCAGACATGCAAGCTGCCCTCTGTATGGCGTTATGATGGCTACACTTCCAATACTATTGGGATGGCGACTCCTGATGCCTGGGATGGAATGGGCACAAAGTCGCCTCAAAAGCACATCGACCTGACAACAAAGTATCTGACCAAAACTATGACTCCAAGCCAGCATCCTACAGGGATAGCAACGCAGAGTTTGCAAGAGAAGGATTTCCGACACAAACCATGTTTCCGTTTTCAGTTCTGAGCTGGGGAATCAATTTTTTGGGGAGTACAAAGAAAGACAGTGTGCTCGACGACATGGCATTGCGATTTTTGGTACTCATACAATGTAGGCGAGAACACAGCAGGTGTAGTGTGATCCAAGCAGCACAGGAATCGTCAGACCCTTGTGGCATATTTCACTGCAGACAAGCAGGCCATAACAAAACACATTTTGAAAACCTGTGAACATCATCAAGCTGCCCCTCCACAGCAAGACTGCCTCTCACAGCAGTTGTAGGGAAATTGTTGAAAATCTAACGATGCGTGGAGCACATGGCAATACAGTATACTGTATTCTCATAGATCACCATTTAAGCTTGATGCAAATGACTGGTGCGTGCAAAAATTAACGGTTGAGGAACAAATCAACACGCCAGAGGAATACTGCCCGTCAATGCCTGCAACCTGCAAGGCCCTGCTTAGTCCTGGAAAGGCAACTGCAATAGACAAGTAAGCAATGGTGAACACAATAGGCTGCAATACGTTCTGTGCAAGAAACCGGGCTACTGATGCCTCATGATCGACACAAAATGTTTCGATTATTTCCACCTCTGCTTGACAAGGATCAACTGTACAGATACACATTCATTTGTGGGTCACTGGGGACATTCAGCTAAAGAACTCCAAACAGAACATTGGCTCAGAGTATTGCTCAAGTTGCCAATCAGATAGAACAGACGTTCGAGACAATTTGTTTCGACAGGATGTAATGCAAGTGCTGACACAATCACTTTTCAGAGCAGTATACAGTGGGCAAACTTCCGAATCCCTCTCAACGTTAACTTTCCACTAACTTTTGGTTTCTTTTTCTTGCCTGCAGCAATACTCATTCCTGATGTGGACTTCCAAGTGGAGCCCATTGCTGAGTCTATCATCACAAAGGCAAGTGCCTCAATGCAACAACTCCAAGCAAGTACACTCTGCCAGGGAAGAACACAGTGTCACAGTTTGGCTGCAGGTTGAAACACTGTCATCGTTAGCAGCATCCAGGCACACATACCCATGAACAAGTTGACTGCAAGATCTGCCTCTAAAGCATTTTCCATGGATCGTGTCCTCCCCCTCGTCTCTATACCATCAATGCAATCAAAAAACACCATTGGCCGGAAGCAGCGGTGTTGATCATTGTGATAAGGGGCCCCACGGCTCAGAACAGAGATGCCAGCTCCATCCTTTAGTTGGTCGTTGTAGAAGTACTTTGATGGAAACCTGACAACACACAGTTCATCAACATGTGAGTTTTCATACCAGAGGCACGCACAGCGATGAATGGAAGGAGCTAACTAAACACATCAGACAGACACCAAGCTGCCAATGCCTGCAGCGTGACAAGGAAATTCTGGGAAAGAGGCTATGTCCAGGTCACAGGATGCAGCAGAATCAGGATGCATAAATGCAACAGTGACCACAGATCAGCACCAGTCCATGGCTGGATGGGTGTGATATGAGAAACAATCAGCAGGAGCAGGCTGCCAAATTCCCATCATGGAATTGTGGGGCTCACCTGCTTATCTCAGGATGCATTCTGTACTGTTCGGAAAGCATCACTGAGGGGTACCCAGCACTCTCAAAGCGCTCAATCATGGACCTTCCCAGGTTGCAAGACTGAGCTGCCTGTGAGATTACAGTAGCTGGCAGTTGCTTCGTGTCACCCACCAGGATGACACGAGCTGCTCTTGACAGCAAGCCTAGGGGTACAAGGGCAGCTGGCTCCACAGCCTGTGCTGCCTCATCAATGATCAGGGCGTTGAATGTGATCTCTTCACCATGCTTATTGCCAGTGCAGAGTGACGTCAGGTCACCACCAGCAGATCCTAAAGTGCTGACCTGCAGAGAGGAGGCAAAGTATCCCTAAACAAGAATTCATGAGTGCCACAGTGTCGAAACCATTGCCTGGAGGCATGTTTGAATTTGTTTCGATTACACTCTCACACTTGCAGAAAATGTGATAAAGCAATCCCCTTGCATTAAGCGCAAGATGTCCAACGCATGTTTTGCTCATGCCAGAGGCAGTACAGCATTGGCCACTTCCACACACTGAATTTCTGCTGCCACATAGGAGCACAACCTGATTTTGAACAGGTGCTGAAAGGTCAGGTCTTCTCCTGTTGTTCAGGACTTTGCACTTGGATCACAGTTTGCAAACACAGAACCAAGGAAATGTTGTCCAGCTGAGCCTACAACGATTTCCGCATCAGCCAACGTTCTCCGCCTGATGTGTTTCTCATGGTGCTGCACATCCTTGTTGTCCTGATACAGTTGGCTCCTCAACTTTCTGGCTTCCGAATTCAGTTGCCTTTCCTTGCCCTGGAGTGGCTTGATCGGTTCCCTCCCATTGTTGCCCAGCGGGCTGCTTCTCAACCTCTGAACTTCTTCCCTGACCTTCCAAGCGCATTTTCAGCAGAGGTGAGCATCGTGTCAGAAAAAAGGGACAATGAAATTTATCAGTACTTATGTGACAGCAGACTGCCACACTCAGCTTGCTTCTTCCCGTTTGACTTGAAATCTATATCAAAAGCTCTGCTCTCTTTCACAAGAATTCCATTCATTCAATGGAGACTGCAAACCAGAGATACAAGCTATGAAAGTTCAACTAGTTCACAAAATGCAGAGCACACCTGTTTCAGCTGCTGCTGCAGTTCATCTAGTTGTTTCACATGCTCTGCCGTCCGAAGCGTGGCTTCTGAAGCATCTTCATTCTTTTGCATTGCCGCTGTGCACATGTGCTTTATGTGAAATGCCTTGACAGACTCGTGTGTTTCCTCCAGCCTTCCCATTCGCAACATTGTTGGTGTTCTAGCACATGAACAGCCCAGGATCACAAGCCTAAGAGGTTATTTGTGAGGCAATACTCCCCCTGGACAACATTCACTACCAAGCACACTGTAGCAGTCCCACTGAATGCCCTTGAGCGAGCAGTAGGCACTGAGCTATGATATGCTAATTTTGGTAAATCGAGTCCAACAGGAATAATGCTGCTGCAGCTGAGCAGCCAATCGCAAAAACTCCTTAAATTGCGAGTATAACCTGTCCAACAGATATGCAAAGACAGATATCATAGCAATTAACTATAGCACAGCAATTAACTGTCTCGTAACCACATGAATAGCAGGCCTCAATGCTACCACAAGCAAATGGTGCAAAAATGGACATAGGGACTATACCTCTTGGAGCCATCCAGGCAGGTCACACCATCCCTGCTGATCCTTGACAATAACTCATCAGCGGCTGCATTCGACTGCGCACAAATGAGGATGCGGGTAGGGCGATGACATTGTGCTGGATCCCTCTTTGCCTGATCAAAATGCAGGAAACAACAATGAAATCTTCATGACAACTGCTATATCACCCTGGCAAAAATGCACATTCAGAAGCAAACCGGTTTGCATAATCCATTCATTCATTGCTCATGCAAAGCAGAACAACAGAAATGGTAGCTTTCGAAATTCGCTGCAGCCATGGACTCAAGTTGGCCTCTTGGGGCCATCGTTGCTGATCCAATATCTGCACTGCAGCACCAGTCCAGCAGTACGTGGTCACAGCAAATTCACAACCACAGCTGCTGGCATACACCTAGACAGCCTGCAGTTATTGCAGACCAAATTGTTTTGTGGTGTTGTTCCAAAGCAAACAGTCCAAGAATTGGTAACGTGAAGTACATTTGGGGATGAACACTGCCCTTAAGGCACTATTGCCCCATGCCTTGCTTGCTGCAAACAGGTACAAACACAGCTTGGCCAGTACCTGTTTGCCAGCTGTGCACCAACAGCATTGGGATTGACAACAGGTCTGACATGGCAACAGGTGGGATTTGGGCTTCACAATTGCACCACATGTTGCACCCTGAACATCGTCAAAGCGACATCACTTTGCGGTGCACCATTTCCCTTGAGTTCAGCAACACTGTTTCACACCTCCAGAGCTGTCCTGGGTTCTGGTCCCTTGCTGCACAATGACACCAGCAGTGCGGAAACCATGCCAACAATAACAGACGTTTTTCCTGTTCCAGGAGGTCCCTACATCATACATAACCAACGCGTCATTGTACATAACGTGGAAGCTTGCAAGCCGCCCTTGTGACTCCGCCAACAGACCAGCTTTTTCACTGAAACAAAGGCACAAACGCCAATACACCTGGTGATATCGTGCTGTTGACACAGTTCACCTGCTACATCTCTATCATGAGGATAAGAGCACAGTCTTCACTTGCCTGCAAGCAAATGTAAGCTATAGCCAAGGTAGCCCATTGACAAGGGACCACCACAACCAGGAACACATCGCTGGTTCTTGAAGGGGCCACATATATTCTTGTGACGATATCAACACAACAGAAAAGACTTTCCACTCAAGCCTGCCTGTTGCTAGATAACACTGCCAGCTTTGCCAGAACATGCAAAGGCACGACCTCAGAAATTGCAGCAATATCTCATTGTGCGGCTGTGCTTCTTCAACAAGTGTGCCACTTGGGATGCAATTGTGGGGTAGTCATCCAAACCCTGCCCACCTGGACCAGTGTGAACACTCCTCGTCCTGCCACAGCAGAAGCAATGGCTGCCTGCTGCGTTGGATTGTATACTTCCTGTAAGGCACGCAGCATACTCCTGGGCAACATCGTGCCTTCAAGATCCACACTGTTGGGCGGAGGTGTTGGGTGCAGGATTGTGTTTACCAGCTGTTGTGGGAGAGCATATAGATTGCACAAAGCTTGAAGTTGCCTAAAGTGCGGTACCAAAGAATCGAGCAGAGTAGCGTGCCAGTGGCTGCCTTTGCGCAAATAGTAAGAAGCATCGCGTGAGGTGTGTGAGGAAGCTGTTCCTGGCACATGCACACACCACAGTTATGTTCGCTGCTGGAGACAGGATCATTGGTATTCATTGTGCGATCAGTATGCATGCAGCTGTTGGCACTTGCACCTGCAGCAGCACACACAGATGTTTACAAACCCAAATACAGACACTAACTACAGCCCTCTCCTTTTCTGCATTCAACAAGATTGCTGAACTCCAATAAAAGCAGTTCAGAAACCTGGTTTACAGGTCCAGCACTCATGATTCACAACGGTTTGAAGCATTCCAACAAAGAAACACAGATTCCTACAAAATCAGCTTGGAAAGACCCATGCGCTGGCTGCATTCACCACACTGATCACCCACCACTGCCCTCCGCCTTTATCTTCATGTCCACCAGTTTGGAGTTTCCATCATTGCCACTGTTGGAATTGTTTGTGACAAGCGCAAGCATATGTCTGGAAGGCAAATTTTTGGTGTCCAGAGGACGGTCAGTCAAGATCAGCAGATTGTCAACATGAACAACCCTGGAAACAGAAAACGGGATGCCTCAGTCCTGTGGCAGGAGCACAGCCAGCTACTGTAATCATGAGGCCCAGATCATGGAATGAAGAAAGCATTGGTAGCAAGGGTGTTCTTGTGCAGGGCAGTCGAACACGAACACCTCACAAGAAAAGTAAATGAAGCTCCACCCATGCAGGTTGGTAATGCAACCGCTCTGCAGTATGGTGCACACAGCCAATACAGATCTCCAAACTAGCACGCTGCCAACCCTACAATGGTGATCACTGAAGCACCATTGTAGCAGCACTGATGCAACTTGACGAGCAAGGAGTTACTTTCACTAGCAGTGGCTGTTTTAACAGTGCTCCCAGTGCTTGAAAATATGGCATGGACTGGAAACACACCTGTGAGACTACTTATAATAAAAGTTGCCTTATCTGTACAACACTTTCCCTTGGAGGCAATTGTGACCTTGACATAATATAATGCTCAGAATGTATCCATGATAGCTGAAAACGGGGACACTGAAGCGCGAATCAGATGTGAACAACACAAATTGACACTGTGCAGCACTCGTCAAGGATATTCTGCTCCTGTTGTGAGAGTCGGGGCCCACATCAGAGAAGTCCTGCGCAAATGGCACCAAGGAACTTCTGCTGACAATGGAAAATTCGACAGAGTATACCTGCGTAGATGCTCTGTTTGCATACCTGCGATCCAGAGCATCTGCTGCTTCCAAAAGGAATGTGACATTGTAGAAGGGGGGGGCCCGCTGCACATGATCCACACGCACAGGTATGGACATGGGGCTGGAAACTCCTTCTTCCAATTCCACCCAGCCTTGATGCAGAGTTGCTCTAAGCTCTTCCACTAGAAGCATTTCAAAAGCATTGGTGTACTGCTGCAGGGTGCTGAAAACCTTTGGCACCTGGGCTCTCCTCCCAAACATCAAGTCGCTCTTTTCGGATTTAATGGCATCAATCCTCCAAGCCAAAATCTTTTCAAAGACGGCTTCCATACTGCATGTTGGCCTCGCATAGGTGTTGGCACCTGAAGGGACACTAGCAAAACCCCAGTGAGCAATCCAAGCCAACTTACTGTTATGCCTGCTTCCCAAGAAGCAGCATGTGTCCAAAGGCCCAGTGGCACCCAGAATATCCTGCCCTATGCAAGGCGATATACCACTGACGACAATCACGGCATCAGGACAACATGGAGGAACCAGTACTCCCACGACTAGCTGACCATCGCTGCCAACTCACCAGGCCTCATTGGGAGTCCCACAACTCTTCCTTGTGGGCCTTTCAGAGGAGATATGAATATTGTTCCTTTTGGTCCCTGGCCTGCCGAGGGAGGTGCCAATCTGCCACCCTGCTTGGTTGCCTTGGATGGCAGGAAAGGATACAGGCTCTGCAGCTGTCCAGAAGAGTCTTGTTGACAGCCTGAGCCACTTTGCACGCTCGGGCCTCTTTCCAGATCTGCACACTGCACAGCCCTTGCACCAGGTCCTCCATCATCGGCATTTGCACAGGAACGCGAAAGTGCCGTGGCCTGCTTCAATCCCTGCACGCCCCTTTGCGATTTGGCCCTCTCATACATGGCCCATGATTTCCTGACGTCTGAGTCGGAGCTGCCTTTGCTTGTGCCCAAGTGTTTAGCATTCTCTGCATTCCCTGTGGCATCAATGGCCTTATTGATAGGTGAGCGACTGACAAGCACTGGTGGGAATGCACTGTTGCACAATTGTGATAACGAGACTCTGTCAGCATCTCCCTCTGTGCTGGGAAGATGCTGCACCTCGTCCAATACCTGCTTTGACAGGTGTAGATCTGGGGAAGTGCCAACAACGATGGGGCTGGCCAGGGGACCGATGATACTGCCATTGCTATGCTTCCTTTGAGTTCCCGATTTTGTTGCCCAATCGTCGTCACTGATGCTCTCGGTGAGATCGACAACATCTTGCACGCCTCTGTCTTTGACAGTCAAAAAATCAAAGAGAGGTTCTGCAAGATTGCCTGGTGCATCTTCTCCCAGCAGGGACCACAACTTAATAAGTTTCTCATGGTCGATGTCACCACGAATTTTAAGAACCTCCTTGGCTAATGGAACAACCTCATGAGGGAGCTTTGTGCTGGCTCCTGATTTCACAAACAATTGACCAATTTCGCATGTTGCATCCGCCCATACACAGCAAGTTGTCTGAGCCAATTGTTTCTGGCCCCACTCCCACATCATTCTGAGAAATTCGTTTCCCACCATGAGGCCACCATGTTTGTCCCTGTTCCTTATGCGGAAGCTATACAAAGGCACCAAAAGCTTGAAAGCTGATGACAGGGAGCATTGCACTGCCCTTCGACTAAAATTGCTGATGGGCAGCGCTTTACAGGTGTTCAAAACTGTATGCACGAGGTCCCAAGAATCCTTCACAACTGTCTTGATTGCAGCAATATGGGTGTTTGGGTTGTCAACGCCAATGAGGCCAGTCAAAAAATCGAAGAAATGAGCAGTCTGTGGAAGAACGGCAACCTGCGCATGCAGCAGCAAAGCATCAGCACACTGCGTTGAACAGAGCAAGAGAAGAGTAGACCTGCTGAAGCTCAGCCACACTTGTGCCAAGGAACCTGAATCTGACAACAACTGATACTGCCAGGCAGCCTACAGAGGACCAAGAAGGGGTCAAGTGGCAATTGAAGTTCAGCACAGACATGTGGATCACGGCCACCCCTTGCCAGCCACCCTCACCTCTTCGGCAGGTATCTGCTTCAATTCAATCAAAGCAGAGAAGCACCCTGACAAAATTCCAATGAATCCCCCACTCTCATCATCATCTATCATTAATTTGCTTTGTGAGCATTCAATCCACTGGTTTGCAGCTTTTCTTAAACTTGTGTCTGGACCAGTGGCCAATCGAACAATGCTGCTCCACATCCGGCACTCGAATTCCGCTGGTGGATAGAATTTTTCACGGGAAAGCACCTCCAGGTGTTGAACTGCACAGGGAAAGAGAGTGTGTTAAAGATCGAAATGCCGCCACGTCCTTTGAAATCGTATTCGAGTTTCCCGTCAAATTATGCAGGCTTGTCCCTTGGATATCAGAAACAGGGACCATGATTCCTCACGTGCCTGGCATCCTGTGGCAAATTGTAGGGAGCATTGACTTCAGTGCGTGTGAGCTCACACTGCAAGTTTCAGTCGCAGCATTGGTGTGGAAAAACTTGCCTGCAATTTCCAGCCATTTCAACAGTAAGAGATCTGGGCACTGCTTCATTTCAATGTCAATTCGGGACCAAGCATCATCCCAGCCTTGACAAGGACGCCAGGCCATGATGGAATTCAGCATTCCCATTGGACTGGCTTCCAACTTTGACTCCAGTTTATTGATCAAAAAGCCCCCAGATACCCTTCTCTCTTTGGTGGCCTGCTCTTTGTGCAGGTGTTCACGGTTGACCTGAACCCATGACAAGTGTGCAGCAGAGACCAGCAATGCACAGCTGACCATTGGGTGCTTGCACTTGGCCAGATCCAACCAGAGCATAGGCGCACATCGCCATGTCTCCTTGTACTCCACAGCGACTTCACATGTTGCCTCAATGTCATTTCCTATTCCATCAGCAATGAGTAGTTGCGATGGTGCATCCCTGTGCACTTGATCTGATGAGAGCAGGACCCGCAGGATGCAAGCATCGACCTGTGGATGCCATGTGCACAGCAAATTGAAGGCATTCTGTTGCATCAAGGGGACACCCATACACACACTATCTGCAGTGGCATTTCAATCTCACACCAAATGGTCACAGCACACTCGCGAAAGTAAGACAGCTCATATTTCAATGTTTTGGAGTGGACATTTGCGATGAAAACAAGCCAGACAGACATATGCAAAATCTATTCCTGGAACAAGATTTCATGACACCTGCACACATTCTTTTGGTGTTTTGTAAAACTTGCAACAAGTATCGCCATCCTCACTGGGGTGCTGTGCAAGTGCAGGAAGTAATTTCCACCTGGAGCAAATGTATCTGTCGCAGCAACAAATTGAATGCGGATGAAGACCAGGGTTCTGGCAAAATTTGTTGTAACCCCACGGCACGCCAATCCAAACATCAATTGTGTGACATGCAAACAGCAGCAGCCTTTTGCCACACCTGCAGAATGAGGCTGGCGTACTCCACTGCAGATGCCTGAACCCTGTCGGCAAGCCCACCCTGCTGAGTCTCCTCTCGGACAAGCTCCCCGATGAGAGCAGGCCCATATATATGTGCTGCTGATGTTGGCGGCAGTGCATCTTTCACAGATTGGCATAGCCGCTTGTAAGCCTCTTGCTGCGCAATTGCACGGATAACTCTACCAAAATTCTTCGATGCCTGCACCTGGTTTATGAAGAAGTAGAGCACCCTCTGGCGCAATACTTCAAGCTCATCCAACATGGAGGCACTCTCGACAGATGCAAGGAGGGAGGAAAGGGCTGAGATGCACAGCTGCATTGGGGCAACAAATGCAATCAGATCACCACAATAGCTGCTCATACAATTGTTGACACCATGTGTGCCATATTGTTCTGCAAAGCCCACTCAAACCATCACACTGCTGTGGCAAGATGCTCCACAGCATTTCAAACTTGCTGTTTGAATGAAGCGGGGCACGATCAGGTAATGGTGGTAGGCTATTCCATTATGAAGATTTATCAAGTGCAAATATATCACGGCTGCAAGCAACAACCAAATCCAGAGCAGAATTCTAGCACATGGTGTGCACCCTGTGACCTTGTTGCACCCTCAATAGCATGCCTACAATGACAGCAAACTTCAAAACAACAGAGGGAATTACTTATATGTCAAAGGAAGGGCCAACTGGGGGAGGAGGTTTGCAAAGAAGGGCTAGGAAAGTAAGATTCTAGGCTGGTGACAGAATAGGCTGGTGACAGCAATAGTTTTGCTTCTGGCAATCTTCCATTCAATGTGACAAAACCAGCACACCCTCAGTTTGGATCACATACTCTATGAATAACATGTTCCATTTGCCTCGCTAAATTCTGATAAAACCCTACCTTGTGTGTTCGTGTATTAGCTTTCCCAGTGTAGGAGCTGCAGATGAAAACTTCAGCAACCTGCAGGGGTGCCAAATGTGAGGAGCACCAGATTTTTGACTTCAGGCCATCAAGGAGCATCTGGAATAGGAAGCACAGACCACAGAAGTAAGCACGAAGCTTGCACATTGATTGGGAAAAACATGTGACACACATAGCCTGATACATGCACCTGAAACCATTCGTCCATGTGTTTCAATGATATAGGGCTGTGGAGGCCGCCCCACTCAAAAAGGATAGTACACTCTGCAATTCACCCAGTGGCACAGCTCTGCAAGAGTTGGCAGTTCCATGCCTGGTTCCTGCACAGTCAACATAGCACACCAGCCTACCTTTGCGCTACTCAGTGCCCATGTGAACACGTCAGGTGAGCATTCACTATTGCAATGTTGAAATACAATTGGCACAAGAGCTGAGACACCATCAGAGATGTTGTGCAGTTCTCCTCCCTGCACACAAACAGCTGCTGTCAAGCACAGCAATAATCTCGTCTAAATACCAGGATCCCTGTCAAAACAACACAAGTATGACGCAGTTCTTCGCTGACCAGTCTCCTGGGCTGCACAGTCTTAGGCTCAAGCTGTGGTGTACTCAAGCTGTGCCTAGTTGCAACAATTGAAGTGCGCACAAGTAGGAGGTTCTAGAACAACCTGATCTTGGCATCTTATGCACTTGATAAATCAATGAAGCATGATGTGCTGTGCATAACTGTTGTTTTCTTTTCTGCATCCAAGCACCTCAAGGATCCTCTCAAGCACTGAAGCCAGACCCATCCACAGTGAGGACTTCATCTGGAAGACCTTCACTCGCTGCATCAAGGTCCCACCACCCAGACCCTGATCGCAATCGCCATAGAAAAGGCCAAACTCCAGCACATGCCTCCACTTGTCCAAGAGAGGAAGAAGGGCTGTGAGGTACTCCCCTGTGGGCACAGGTAGCAAATCGGCGGCTCTCCGCATCTGTCTCCAGCAAGATACTCAGTGGTGTTAGCTTCACTGCAAGCCTTCGTGCAAGCGAAAGCTGGGCTGAGGCAGCGTTAGTGTCCCATTTCTTAGATGGAACCAGTCACCAATTGCTTCTCCCCCAATCTGCTCCATGGATTTAATTAATATATGTTGATGCATAGATAAACTCCAGCAACCACAACTAAAAGTCCAAACCACAGGGTGCTAATTGTGAAAACTGTCTGTTGCCTAATCGGCATGGCCCACCAAGTTCCATGTGATACCTGGAGAAACATTGCAGTGTTCTTCGCATGTGCAACATGTTTCACTCATTCAACTTCCTAAAGGGCCAAACAGCACTACTCCAGGGTCAACAGCATTAAATGAATGTGCAAATGGTGGACTATACCCTCACTCACATCCAACTGCAAGGGCTGAATGCCATATGCACCAACAACTCTTGGAAGGACCTTGCTGCTTAGAAAACATTGCTGACCTCCACAGTGGGCAACATCACCTGCACAATGCATCCGCACAAAGCATCCTACCCCCACCTCTGTGGACAGATCGCAAAAACGAAAACCAACACCTGACAAGCTGCAAAAGCCCAAAGCTGCGGCCTTGCAAAAACCCACCAATTGCCTGACAGACTCTTCATTATGGGCCAGTAGCCTAAACACTCCAACATAGAAGGCCCCCTCTCCAATGACAGCATCTATCCCATGAGTATGGTCGATGTGGAGCAGTGCACGGCTGCACAACGAACAGACCTCTGAGTCTTCAAGAATTTCACTGTATGTAAGGACCTCGTGAATGGCAGATCGAACCTACCACAGATGCAGACATCTAACTGTCAAGAGCTGCACATCGGGTAGAGATTGCCACACAGACTTATGTGACATGGACAGTGCACATCTGGATTCCCCCCACGATCTGACAGATGAAAACTGAGCCACTTCACAGGCATAAACACACAATACCAGCAATCTTCCCATACACAAAGAACCAAATACCTTCCCACAGGGTTACTGGACACAGTTGTTTTCATGATGACCTCACAAGAAGCGTCCTGATCTCCAAATACTGATCTGCATGTGTTAATTCCATTGTTCCTTTGGAGCACCTCAATCTTTCAAGGCAGTGATTAGCTGCAAGCGCTACACAGCCCATGCACATTGGTTGCATGGGGCACGGAGCAAGGGTTGAATGAACTCAACACCATGTGCATAAAAGTTAAACACTAAGTACTTCCATCCCTTCAAACCCTGTGGTTCTCAAGGTTAACAATTGTTCCTCACAAACGCCCATGAGGTTATTGACATTTGGCCAGTAAAATTCACTCCCTCCCCGTTACAGCACATCTTACACATGCATTTGAAGCCAACTTCGACGGCCTGTACATGTCATACAATCAGTGCTGTTGTAGTGTGGAAAAACAACCCTCCGCAGATCCAAAGGACACCCGGCCTAAAAGATGTTATCTCCCTCAATTTACCTTGAAAGAAATGTCTTCATGTGCCTTTACATCCATAGCTCCGGTCAACAAACCTGTCAGACGGATTGCATCAAAACACAGGCACGCATGAAGAATGACATCTCCACCATCGGCATCTGTGTACGATTTCTGCACACATCATAAAACATGTCAAACGTGAAATTAAAACAGAAAGAACAGAAGCAACCCTGAATCCAGATTGGAGAACGCCCAGGTGATATTCAATTTTGTGTGGAAGAGATGATATGAATGGCTACTTGTGTTGCTACACCACTTCACTCAGACAACAACATCACCCTTATTCTGAAAAGAGATATGTAGGATATTGTGGTCAGCAGTGCCCTGTGAGCCCATGAACAAACACAGGGTGTGCACAGCACATCGACATCCTTGATGGTCACACACCCACAATGAAGTAGCAACAGAAAATGCAGACAGGGACACGGGGTAGTGTGTGCACTATGAACACATCATTGGCTGCAGTAGCATTGTGCGATTGGCCGGTGTGTGTGCAGACACAACCCAACAACTGACGACAAGCGGCTTGTATGAGTCATGCTTGTCAACACCTTGCATGTACAAGGGCCCTGTCTTGTCCTGTTAACCGGAGCATTCAAAGGAATAAAGTGGCTGCAGAAAGGGCCCTCCCTTGGCATACCTGTGCCTCATGGTAGCGGTCTACACAATCAAGGCAGTCCCCAAGGGAAGAGCCTATGCAGCCAAAAAGCTTCTGCACATCTTCATGCTCATGGTAGAGTGCCAGTTCGCACATCCTCTGGGCGACTAAAAGACACAGATTGCAACAAGCCACCTGAGCAAACAATGCCTGACTGACAGAGTGCAGGTTGCAGCATGTCTTAAGCACAGTCATCACACAACATCAGCGGACCGTTTTCTATAGAATCTGGCCCTGCAACACCAATGGTCCAGCAAAATGGCCACCGTTCGCCCAAACAGACATTGGCATCAAGCTGGAGTTTGGATGCGCATAGTCCCTGGAGAGTGAGGATCCTTTCCATGGGTTCAGGGGGTAAAAACTGCTAGGCTGGTTGTGTAGCCAATGCACAAGATTCCAGAAATGCCATTGCAACAGCCTCCAGTGTTCCTCAAGACAGCCAATCTGCAGAACAGCAGGAACAGCCATTGTGCATTGCACATGCGACCACCTTCGTAGTGCAGGCAAAACCAGTGTCCTCCCTCTGGCAGTCCCATGAGGAAACGGGAAGCATCTTGGAACCACTGTGGATGTTGGACAATCAAGTCAGCACCTCTTTTCGCAAAATGCGCACGCACGGGCATTCTGAATCTGCTCCTTCAATCCACATCTATTCCCACAGTCACCACTTTGCTTGCCTCTGGTGTAGAGTGTTGCGCTCTACACCACCTCTGGCACAGGTGACAGCGCTCGACAAATAAGCTCTGCCCAGATTCCATGGAGGTCGCCCTGACCAGGCAGTTCAACACAACTGCCAGTAAAATGGCTAACACCAACACAGCTGATACCCCACCCCACCCCACCCTTCTTTTATGCCAACGCACCAGAGCCCTGTAGTCCTGGGGCATACCGGCTCCAAGTCCTAAGCCCACAGGAACCCCAACCAGGGTCAGCCTTCGTCGCTGGGCGTGAAGGCGGTGACACCAGTGATTTTCATTTCAATAGGCCCCTGCACCCCGATCGTGGCAGCACCTCCTCCCGGGTTCCCGGGTTCCCGGATGATGCCAGTATGCGGGACAGACCCTGGCCCTTAGTCTGCGATCTGAGGCCGTCTTATCAAACGGGGCACGTAAAACAGACTCCCGCGTTCAAACACGCGCAGGGACAGGGGATTCCGGCAGGGTGTTGACCAAGCAGAAACGGCCGCACGCATCGCCTGGGCAGAACAGACGGCCCCTTCCCCAGCAGGCCGTCCACCAGCCTCCACAGCAGGCCTGGACTTCACAAGCTGTCCTGGCCTCTTCCGCGAGTTGTCCTATCCGGTGCAGCCACAGTTTCCGGACCGCAACGTCGGCGGGTGGCGCTGTTTGCTATCACCTTTTTCCTCCCCTCCGCATCATTCGCATCCGCCCAGCGCTCCAGCAAGGCGCCCTCTTGGGCGCTGTGGTCGTCAGCCATCACTGGGCCGGGGCTGGGCCCCCCAAGCGACGGTGCTTTCCGTTGGGCCTTGCGCCCAATTACACATTGACGCGCGTGCAACAACCGCAGGGAAAAAGCGCGGGTCAACGGCTGGGGCGTTCTGCCTGTCGTACAAATCTAAGCGGCTCTCAAACCAGCAGAATGGTCGAAAGGAACTGCGCATGGCCACGCTGCCACCCGCAACAAATGGTATTGCGCTGAAGGCTGCACGTCGGCGGCGACAGTTCAGCGACACGTCAACACTTTGACCCACATTCCGTCAGTTATTTGTAGTTTTGTCAATCCCACGGGTTGCCTGGAGTCACCAGAGAAAGACGCCGTTCCTTATATTGGTGCTCAAAGGAACTTCCTACTGAACCTTGTGAACGCAAACAAACGTTTGCAGACAATGTGGTGCCTTCGTTCTGTGGTCCCCTCCTCTTCTGACTCTATTTCCCGTCGCGACGGGAACATTGCCCCGGGACGGGAAGTAGGGGACCCTACTTCCCGTCGCGGCCACACAGCGTCCAACAATCGTTGGCCAATGCGCAGTAACGAGACATTCATATTAGGGCCCGCCAAATAAATGCACAAAAAGCTTTGGAATTGTAGTCCACGTTCAAAAGCCACAAAGATGCCTTGGACAGGCTGTTGGATCGCAAAATGGGGAAGGCATGCATTCAAGCAAAGCACCCAGGGATGCAGCAAATGAAGGTCGCCGTTTTAGACCGTGACTTGCGTGATTCATCAGCAGACACGAGCCGACGACAGTAGAGTGTAAAATGATAATGGTAATTGGAATGGCTGCACAAGCATAAATTCACATCACTCTGAGCGACCTGTGGAAGTCAGGTTCAATATATTTGGGGCCACATTGGTGGTTTTGAAGCCGAAAGTATCTCAACGCGGTCGAGCATACTGTTTTGCACACTATCAGTGTGCTGACAGCGGTGGCGCTGGTAAATTTTTGTTCATTTAACGCGCTATGTAACTGTGTTGAAATGGGACCAAAGCGCGTATCAGAAGTTTAGACCGTGCTGAAATTGGGCGAATTCGAGACATCTCAATCGTGTTCTGCTATTATTTTGACGGGTGCAGGTTGGCTTACCTTAGGCGGAAACATAGCTTGGGAAGATCTGCTTGGTGAAGAACACGATGCAGTGTAATCAATTGTGCATCAGCGTCATTATCGGCTAATGGTGATGTTGTCCACGCTGTGTAGAATGTCGTCGGCGATGCACTTGTTGTCTGGCCGCGTTGGAAAACAGCGCACATACATCGTACATGGGCATCAAACCACAGCTAGTTTGTATCATGGTCCCAACTCACCGCCACCCCCTCACAGGCCCGCGTGCAATATCAGCGCCAGTGAAATCGACGCGCCTTGCTTGCATAGTTGATCCAACCGGAACGTGTGTTCTTCATGCGCAGATGGCGCCATTCTCTTGGTCAGTGAAAGACCCAGAAACCAACAGCACGTCAGCGCATCCACAATGCCCGTGATCAGCGGTTTTCTCGGAACGGCATTTGCCAAGAGTAAAGGAGTCTGTCTGATTTGCACTGGCACTTGTGCGTTTCATCATTTGGCGGTTGACTGCGTGACGCTATCCATGGCTAATCGCGGTTGATGCAGACTTTTGTGGCGTACCTTTGCGTATGCATGTCGCAGGAATGACGTAGACTGACGGGAACCTAAAATTGTGGGACAGACCAGCTGACAGGAAGGACTGTCAGGGCTCCAAAGAAACGGCTAAATTCCTTTCAAAAGAGTGCGCAACGGCGAAAGCAGCGCTGCGTGTTGAAGACTTGTGCTTATCAGCCGTGCTTTCTTGCGGTGCAGCAACGCCAGTTGGCACATGCACAAAATGAGAAACGGGCAACATCATCAGATGTGCTCTGTGCAGCTTGATTGGAAAGTATGCGAATCTCTGTAGGGTACAACGGTAGGTTTCCACAGCGGGCGCATGTGCATAGTAGACTAGTGTGTGTCATGTAGTGAACAACACAACGCGCTCTAGAACGCAATGTACAATTTCCTACTGCAAATCGTGTGGAAGGTCCCACGCCACCTTGGAGAACAGGCTGTCGTGGCGGCGTGTTTAGCACTACATTGTAGGGGCAGACCATGTCGATTTTGTTACGTTTAGCGTCATTTTGACGCTAAGGGAAGGGGTGTTGGGGGTCCAGACTTGTGACGCTAAGAGATTATGTAATAGTAACAAAATCGACATAAGGTGGAAAGGTGCCTCAAAAAGCTGCTGATCAGCAGCAAAATACTCGTGGCTTGTTTTTATACCTCCCTGAGTGTTCACTCCTCCAGGAGGTCCTTAGAACATGTGAATTTACAGCCATCAAGACTGATTGCTTTGCCTATAATGGCATTTAAAATCCCATTTTGAAGCCCACCCAAATTTGTACGACTCTGAGCATGTCTTCTCCGGAAAAACGTCTGGAAATTGTGCTCGACTGTTAGGTACTGTTGCTGAGTCATCCTGGCTTCGACGTCAGGATTGACACTAAGGAAGGGGTGGGGGTGTCTGAGCTTAACGTCAAATTGACCGTAAGCGGAACAAATCGACATCGCGCCTTCCCTGATACTGTGACACAATGTTTGTTTCCTTGGTGAGCAGACGCAATACATTTTTCCGACTAACCTCGGAGATTTGTAGACTAGGAGTCCCACACTTTAAATGTGGCTATTATAGTATGGCGTACTGACCTGAAACGGTGCCCCACTATGTTGCGCTTTCTCCTGAACAACCGTCCTTCTTAACTTCGGAGCGTTCGCAGTACTGTACTGCACGACGCATTGTGTACTTCAAATTCCATTTCAGTTGCAAGAAAGAGAATCAATGTGAACAGACGCTACGATCGAGGGACCACGGTCCCTCCCTGCCACAAACCCTTTCGCGCCGCGCATCGATGCAACGTGGCATGACGCCACGAAAGCCTTCCCAATCAGCCGGGCTGACCCAAGCAACACCGGAGAGTGCCCTGAGAGACGCCTATTCGCTTGTGCAGCCAGGGGGGGTTACAACACCATCCATGGAGAGAACCCAAGGGGGGACGTTGTTGGTCGGTGCCCAACCCGCCTGTCTTTCTGCTCGGGGTGGGTTGTCAATCCGGAGGCGCGGCAGTCAACCTTTATGCGAGGCAGGTGTGGAGCAAGTGCAGTTGGCGCATCTGCCTAGGGTCAGATGGCTCCCAGCAGGCCTCCAGGCGGACGTGGCCCCGGGCGGGCTGTCATCTGGCGCCTCCCGTCCACCAAATCTTGTATACATGACAGCGGGTGCTTCGCCCCATTTGCGAGCCTGGTGGTCCATAGCAAAGGTTGAGAGCCTCGCTGGGGCGACGGCGCGTGTGTTACCGCACCCGCGGCGCGCCAGCAAGAGTCAAACACTGCCGGGCCTCGAGAAAGGCCGTGGCCGGGCGGCCGGCGGTTGGATTTTTACCTTCCCGCCGCCTCTCGACAAGGTCTGGGGGAATCCGTCAGTACTTAATCTAGTAGTGAGGGTGAGTGCAGAGACTGGGCGTTTCCCTTCCGCTTGGTGGGCGGAGTGGGGCGCAGTGGGCGCCAGCGAGCGTCCGGAGGCGCTGCACAGCGGTGGGGTCTGCGGCTTCCGTGCACCGCCACACCTGGGTTGCTCATTTTTGCGCCTTATCGCTCTTGTACTCTCAAAATCCTCGTTCCTCGTTGGATTCGTTACCTTCGGCGCTGTGGGACGTGGGTTGCCTGAATGTCCCGCCCTGGCCCGCCTTGGTGTTGCTCCCGCCGCGATTTCAGTCGCTTATGGACTGGGCGGGGCAGCTGCCGGGCGCCGCTTCGAATGCGGGCTTCCTCCCACGCGCTCTGCGGCGTTCAGAATTTTCGTCTTCATTTGTGCGGCCACTTGGGGAGCCCCTGGTTGCTGAATCGAAGCGAACATCCGTGCCAGGGCACGGGCCTGGTGCGCTCTCGCGCCGGGCAGCCGGCCGTGTTGGTAGCGGCCGCGGCGATGGGCCGCCCCAGGCTGAGCGCGTGTTGTGCGGCTGCTGTAGTTGCTGTTTGGGGCAGTCACCAGTTTCGCCAAGTGGCCGGGGCCGGTCCGTACGGCTTCCGGCGCCGCGCTCGGGAACGCCCGTTGTAGGAAAGGCCGCCCCGGCCGTCCTGGGCCCTGTCCGGGCCTGGGGCGTGATGCTGCTGTCACCTGTCGTTATCAGAACGCGTGCCAGGCCGTCCCGACCTGCGCGCCTCTGTGGGGCGAGGTTCGACGGCCGACGACCCTCAGGCGCTTCGCACGTGACAGGATCGGTGCCCAGTCCAATTCGCCTCCCGTCCGCCCTGCGACGACCTCCTCGAGCGCGTGCGTGCGCTGGAGTGAGCGCTACTCTCCTCCCTGCGCAGGTCACGACGGCGATCACCCATGGACGGGTCCCCGGCCGGTGCGAAACAGAACAGCGGCCTCCGGCCGATTTCGAATTCCCAAGTCATGTCGGCCCAGGTGAGCAGGCCCTCCAATCGCGGACCCCAAGGCGGCAGGCCCGGCGACAGCAACGGCACCCGGACGCTGTCGCCGGGCGTGGGCAATCAGGCCTCCCTGCAGCAGGCGACGCCGGGGTTCTTGTTGCAGAGCACGGAGGGGCGTGGGCGGAGCGCCCAGGTGGGCGGCGCCAATCCCATGGCGACAGCGGCGGCGTTCGCCAACCTGTGGGCAGCGCAGAGCGCCGGCCGCGGCCGCGGGCAGAGGCTTAGCGTGGCGGGCGTTGGGCCGAAGCCCAACCTGCCGCCGGAGCTGCTCAAGTCAATCTCAGTGGCAGCGCACAACCTGCCGGGAGTTCACGCGTCCCCCAAGCAGGCCTCTCGCCCCCAGACGGCCCCGGCGGAGGGGAGCTACCGGAGGGCGGTGGCAATGGGCGTCAGCGAGGGGTCGCAGGGCAGGGGACTGGGTCAGATTGTCGTCCACTCCAAGGTGCCCGAGCACGGGCCCGGACCGAGATCTGGGGGCACGGCCGAGCATAAGGGCAACCCCCCCCAGCTGGCCAGCAGAGTGCGGCAGCTGGGGCTGCAGGGGGGGCTGAGGGGGGGGAGGACGATTCAGTTGCAGGGCAGGAACCCCGGGCAGGGCGGGAACATATTGATAGCCCAGTCGGCCCCAAGCCCCCGCGGTAGCCAGAGGGAGGTGGGGTCGATGCGACAGGGATTCCCTGTGTCCCAGAATGCCAACCGGCAGGGCTTCACTTCTGCAGCCAACCTGGTCCAGACATTGGGGCCCCTGATGACGCAGGCGGAGAGGCCAGGGCAGAGGGTGCGGGAGCTGCAGACGGGCCCAACAACGAGCACGCCCCCGGCGCAGTCGCCGCGCCACCAGGCAAATGCTTCAAGCACATCACATGGGCCGACGAGCCCGGGGTTGAACCTTGCCCCCATGATGGTGAAGGGCACAAGTGGCAGCAACAGCAACCTTCCAGGCAACCTGACGCTTGTGCCTTCATTCTTGGTGCAGATGCCTGGGGGCCAGTTCCGTCTGGTGAACACTGCACCAACCATGATGGGGATGACGGGCCAGGGGCAGGGGCAGGGCCAGGGCCAGGGCCAGGGGGCCTCAAACGATGGCAAAGGGAGTTCTGTGGCCAAAGGAAAGCAAACCACTGCCATGCAAGCCGCCATCCTACCAGTGTCACGGCCTGAAGTGAAGAGCAGCGATGCCACGAACCCACCTGGTGGTCTTCAGCTCAGCATGGCAAGCAGCATGCCAAGGACTTTTCCAAGGTCCCTGTCCATGGTGGAGAGGCCTCCAAGGCTGCCCAACGTGGTCACAACAATCCCCCATGAGGTGGAACATCAACCATCGCTTCGTCTGCCATCGGCGAGTTTTGCGATGCTGAAGCCAGAATTTGGCAGCCAAAAGTCACGCATGCCTCAGAGCTACAGGGTCAAGGAGCCAGCCCTTTTGCGGAGGAGAACTCTGCAGGAGGAAGAACAAAGGGGGCAAGCAATAGCACCAATTAGCAGAGCAGATGTGGTTGCCAATGGCCAGGGTCTGTCATCTCAGCGCAGCTCAGAGGATAAAGACAAGGATGATAAGGACATGATATCGGTTGCAGAGAGCTTGAAGGATCTGTCTGGCATGGACGCACGGCAAATGTCAGACAGTCCCACGCACAACCAGGCAGCAACAATTGAACAAGAAGCTGTTCATGACATAGCCACCACGAGCTACAGCAATGACGACAGGAATGGAGAGGTCAGCGATCCATCCGGGACTGGAACTGATGCATTTTCTGGACTGGACGTCCTCATCGACGCAGCAACAAAGACGGAAGGAGAATTCTTTCGTGCCTTTTCAAGACCATCCTCCAGCCGGTAACTCGGTTTCCTTACTGTGGCTGTCGATCCTCCCCCATATCGTTGTATTGTGTGGTGCTGCCAAGTGCAGTAGTGCTGAGAACAATTGTGTGATATTTCGGAAAGGGAGGAGCTGTGGGTGGTGTGTTTGAATGGGGCAGCTTCCATTGGTTGCTGTGGTAGGGTATGGCAGCAATCACCCATTGTGCAGGCCTGTTTCAAGTGTTGTGTGTGCAGTTGCGAGCACACTGACGTTCCATGCTTGTGACATGTATAGGAGCGGGTTCACCAAGCGCCGAAGAGGCATGGGGGCCTCCATACGCACTTATCGAGGCTCCATGCCGCCACCGAACGGCATCCCCCTATCTTTTCAACTGCACCCGAGTTTCATCGGCATCAGTTATGTGGAGCGCAGCGAAAAATACGTTGCACGCTGCAGGCACAAAGGCGAAGCGATACAGATCGGCCAGTTCGACTCTGCCGAGAGTGCTGCAAAGGCGTATGATCGCACAATCCTTGGTCTAAGGGGCGACACGGCTCGCACCAACTTTCCCAAGGAGGACTACATGAAGTTCGAGGTGGAGAACTCTGCGCGTGCATTCAAGACCAAACAAGAGCAAAGGAGCAGGGAGGGGGGCCGCCATCGGAGAGAATCGTGGTCGCCGTGGGCACGGGCTGCGCAGACACTCCTGGGTTCGGAGTGCTCAGATGTGAGCCTGTCGGCACCCAGCTCACTGATGCTGGGAGATGCCATGTCAGAGACACGGCGGGCACGGGTACAGCGCACGATGACGCTGCTGCACCAGCTGAGGTCGGAGGACCCTTCTGTGTTTGACGAGGCTGTGGCCAAAGTCCAGAGTCTGGGATTCAGTGCAGACTCCGTGCCCGCCGGGCCACAAAGCGGCCAGTCCCTCCCCCTCTTACAGGACATCGACCACCCCACCCAAAACATCGAGGAAACCCTGAGGGCGGTGTTCAGCCGCGTGGAGGACCTGCACAAGATGGTGGCGTCCGGAAACGGGACTCTGGAGGACAAGATGTCGCTGCATCAGCACATGTACGCCGCCGAGGTCCTGCAGAACATCCTCAGCGCGAAGTGCTCCCGGCAGGGCAAGCCATCGACGTCCGCGGCGGGCGGCAGATCGAAGCACGTGAAGGCCGACCCGGAGTCTCCCTCCGCGGGATCCGACGGGGCCGCACCCGGCAGGATGCTTCAAGGCGGGACGGGCGCCGCGTCTGCGCGGAGGAGCGCCTACGGGCCTCTGGGCATCGGCGGTGACGCGGGCAGGTCCGACGGCCCGGACCCAAGGGCGCCTGGTGGTGGTGCCGCCGACGCGGGCGCTGCCAACGGCGTCGTCCACCAGGGGGCGAGCCTGGGCCTGGTGCCGTTCCAGCCCACGCGCCTCGCCGGCGGCAAGGGCACCAACGCGTCGGAAGCGTCCGGCCGCATGGCCGCCATCGGCAGGTCGTCCGGCCCGCCGGCGCTGCCACAGGGCCTGGAGAAGCTGGGCGACCTGTCCAAGAAGGTGCAGGCGATCCTGGCCAGCGGCTCGGGCATGCGGCTGCCCTCCTCCGGCCAGCCGTTCCCTGCGGGTCGCTCGGCGGCGCTCTCCTCTGTCGCGGACGCCTGGGACGGTCCCCGGGGCCCGGCCGGGCTGGCCGGCGTCGGCGCGGCCAGGCACGCCTCCCAGCGCGGCGTGGGCCGGATCGCCAAGCCGTCCTCCCGCGGGCTGATGGCCGCCGACGACGCCCGCGGCGGCTTCAGGGATCGCGGCATGATACGCCGGTCCAGCCGCAACTGCCCGCGCCGCGACCTGGACATCTGGGTGACGCCGTCGGTGCGCGGCAGGGGCGCCCGGCGCGCGCTGGGCTCCCGTGTCGTCCGCTCGCCCTACGCCTCCTCGGAGGCGGAGGAAGATGAGGACGACGCTGAGACGGAGAACCGCAGGCGCCGCGGCGTGGGGCTGTATCGGCGCACGGTGCGGCGGCGCGTGGCCGCCGGGCGCGGCCGCGGCAGGGGCTACAGGGGCCGAGGCAGGCGCGGGCTTCGAGGTAGGGGCTCCAGGCGCGGGGCCGGTAGGGGCCGCAGCAGGCGGGCGGCGCCCGGACGTCAGGAGACGTCGCAGGACGGCGGGGAGGCCGCCGCGGAATTGACGGGCGCCGGCGAGGGCCCGCGGGCCCGCGGCGGCAACCGGGAGAGCGACGCGTCGATGGAGGAGGTGGCGGAGGCGCTGACGTCGCTCCGGGGTGGGGAGGGGAGGGGTGATGACGTCGGTGGGACCGCGGGGCCGGAGGGAGCGGAGGGGGAAGGGCTTGGTGATCAGAACGGGGAGGGGGCGGGGGATGGACTGGTTGGGTTCGTGCAGGTGGAGGCCGCCCGGCAGGTGTCCGTAGCGCAGGACGACGCGGGGGCGAGCGAGGGGGAGGGCGGCCAAGCGGCGGAGGCGGAGGAGGAGGAGGACGACTGGGAGGAGTCGGAGAGCCTGGCGCCGACGGCCAGCCAGGCGGGCGCGATCGGCAACGAGGAGCTGAAGCGGTACAGGGAGAGCCTGGGTTGGGGGAAGCTGCTGGCGTGCTCGCTGTGGCCCAAGAAGCGGGGGGGTGGCATGCTGGCCAAGTCGTTCGACGGCAACTACAAGGGGCACGGCCACCGGGTGATGCTGCTCGACGTCCGCGACGAGCTGTTCCGGGACGCCGGCAGGAGCTGCGGGGAGGATGTGTCGAATCAGCAGCCGAGATGAGACTGGCGGCGCCGGCTCGCGTGTAGTTCTATTCTCGGGCTCTGTAGATATGCACGCATGGGGTTGTGCGTGTTGCACACAGGCGTGGGGGATGCTATTGAGTTGGGACGTCCAGGGGTGTGGCGTGCCGCCTATTCGTTGGCACTCAGGATCCTCGCCAGGCGCATTGTTGCATTGGGAGGGCGGCTAGCTCGGACAAAGCATGTAGTGGCAGACTATTAACGTACGCAATGTGGGAACTGTCTCTCCCATGCGCACTCATTTGCAAACGCACTGATATTTGGCCTCCTGGCGCCTTGTTGTGTGGCATGGACGTGGCGCCTTCTCACTGTGAGTGTCCGGTCCAACCGTTACTTGCACAGCAATGGAAACATTCTTGATGGGCTTGTAGACAATTTTTTGTGACACTGGTACTGTGTTGCTGCAGCGCTATTTTGCCAGCTGTGCCATGTCGAACACCGGCGTTAAACTCACCTTTAGTCATGTGTCCACTCACCCAATTTTCGCACAGAACTGACGGCAGATCATCGTCGTTCGTGCAAGCGTCTTTGCTGGACCTCTCGCGCCTGTGCGCATGTGTTGCCTTGATGGTTGTGCTCAAGGCCCCGCAGAATTAGGCACGCACCGATGTTCTCCAGTAAAGGCCCAGTTGCACAGTTCCGCACAGAACGTACCGCATAGGAATGGACCAGAACAGCCAGAGGCAAAAAAGAGTCTGCCCATTCAGTGAGTTCACTATGCGCCCGTTGAGGGGCCAGAGCCGAGGCGTGGTCATCCTACTTGCTGGATCTGGGTCACATATTGCATTTAATGCAAACACCCAAGTAAAAAATCCTTAGGTGAATTGTTTTGCCCTCTTGTGGACCCAAATCTCCCTAACTACTAGCAAGTGTCCATCAAAAAATTGAATTTGACGTCAGTCGTAGCAATGCCCTCACGGTGTCAACCCATCAGGCAATCGACGCAACGCTGCTTCACAGAATTGCAGGGTGTCAAGCATATATCGTGGACATCCATAGGCATGGAATTCGTGGAATCCCCAACATTCAAGATTCGACGGCTGCTACGACTGATCCGCTGACGTATTCGGGCCATCCCCTGCGGCGCCATCCTCTGCAGGGAGATCACCGGACATGGCGGACACAGCGTCCAGTGGATGACCATCGAAGAGTTAGTGGCCTGCAGGTCGGGTGGCCAATTGTAGCTTGCATTAAAAAATAGATGATTATGACAATCGCATGATCTGGTTCCCCGTGCGATCCAGAATTCAGCAGATTGGCCGTGCGAACACATCATCGATGGCTCAAAATGATGGCGAAAATTCTTGTGACAAAATACAAGAAGAAGGACGTCACATCTATGTATCCAATTGAGGAAAATGTCAGTGCCATTATGCGCCAGCCCGCTACGTCATGGTGACACGCAGCATGCTATGATTAGGGGGGCTCCGCGCTACCTAAGTGACCCATTTTTTGACGTGACATGCCGAACTATTGGTTTGAGCAGCGGGCCAGGAAAGCAACGCAAAAGGTCAAGTGCTCATCCCAATAGTCCAGAACAATGTACTAGGCAGTTCTTTTTGACAATTGGACCAATGGGCATGATTGCATATGGTGAATAGTTCATTTTGCGACAGTGGACTGTCCTTCTCTGCGACAATGCCAAACTACTCTTTTTTGCGACAGTGGATTGTTCGTCTTTGCGACAGTGGCCGGGACTGTTCGTTTTGCGACAGTGGCCCAGTTGTTCTTTTCTGCCACAGTGGCCATGACCGAACAGTGGCTTGGGGAGCCAAGCACGCCCTGAATAGGCTGCCCGGCGCTCTCAGCCCCGCGAGGGGGCGTCCTGCACGTCCATGGTGGTCCTTGTCCCATGCCAAGACAGTGCCCCCAAGTGCGTAGGCTGAAGGCTGTGCCTGAATGGGGCCTGGTCTAGGCAGAAAGCTGTGTTGTGCCAATTCACTACTCAGTTTGCGCAGGGTGCGCACACACAATGGCGGTGGTGCCAACACAACCAGCAGGAAGACCACGTTAGCTGGTCAAAAGCTCTTGGCGCCAGCGCACGTCACTTGATGGACGATGAAGGGGCCAGCAACCAACGCCATGACTCCCACCACGTCCCAAGTCTGTGTCCCTAGCTGGGGGCAGTGGGCGCGTGCAGCCCCACCTCTCCAGCCATGTGCTTCTAAAGCTGCCCACCCGATCTCCCACCTCCCTTGCCTGGACCCCACCCCGTCAGTCCATCTCCATCTTTGGCATGTGGGGGCGAGGGAGATCGGCCAGCTACAAAGACCCGATAGCGCGATCGCCAGGGTTTGGGCGTCTCCAACTGTGCCGAAATGGCTTGGGCGGGATCCAGCACGCGAGAAAAGGGCGCTCTTGAAGGAAATGCCGTTGATGCGATTCAAACGGCCCCCTTTGGAGTGCACACGGGAAGCGCGGATCCACGATCGCCGATGCTTCAACGGCGCTGGCACACGGCCAGACACAAGGCCACGCCACACAAAAAACGCTCAGGGCTTACATATTTGTTCACCCTTCCCACGACGAAGAGCCTTGCCGACGGTGGCAACGACCCCAGCAAACCAACAGTTCCAATTCTCTAGCACCCACAGAACTCTTCTTTTGACATGACAACGGCCATCATCAACCAGCCATACAACACTTCAGATATGCCTACACATTACTGCAATGCAGCCTACTTTACAAAACATATGTCAAAGGTGCCCATACACTCAGTGGTAATGTTCAAATATGTACATATGTCAAAGGTGCCCATACACTCAGTGGTAATGTTCAAATATGTACAAGTCGCACACCATAATGCATAAGTGATCCACCCAGTGAAACGGTGGTCGTTATGCGGTGTCACGAACAGCGCCCCAAAGGGGCTCCCACTTCGGTACAGGCATCAGCTGACGTGCTGCAGCTGGCTCTGAAATTTTCGAAACGCCAACAAATGGGGTATGTGGCACCTTCGCCCAGTTCCTGCTATCCTCTGGCCCGATCTGTTTCCTGAAGCACCGTTTGCGCAAGTTCAAGGACGTTAACTCCACCCTTTTTCTCGCCGTTTGGCTGTCTTGGATCGGGCCTGAGCCGTTTCGGTGGGGTGGGGGACTTCCTGTGCCCCCGCTCACTGACACGCGGCCAGATTCGGCTTGAGCAGCAGCTGCTTCGGCGGATGGCGTTTGCCGATCTACGCACAGCAGCCCCTGTTCGGCCTCTGGACGCAGCTCCCGTCCCTCTCACCCGCGTTTATGGCAGGCCAGAGGACGGCCGGTGCCGTGCAAAGCTCGCGTTTGCATCAGTTTCAGCCAAATCGGTCGAATCTCCATGCTAGATGGCGCAGCAGTCCAATCGGTTGTCAAGGGACCCTGGTCGTCCCCTAGCACTCCTCTTGGCCTTTTGGCCCTGTTCTCTGAGCAACACCACCGCCAACCGAAGGTCTCGGGGTGCGCGAAGCGTCAGCCAGACGGCCGCAAGTCACACATCTGGTAGCGGCACTGTCGCCAAAATGAACAACCGCGCCACTGTCGCAAAAGGAACAGTCCGGGCGTTGTTGCAGAAATGAACAACGTTGTGGCAATGACGAGCGACACTGTCACAGAAAAGAACATGTCGCAAAAAAGAACAATTTCACTGTCGCAAAAAAAAATAGTGACCATTGCATATGGCTGCCCACACGGTATTATGGGGCTGGAGAAGGCTGTAACCGGCGGCTTCCTTGCGCGTAGTAGAAATCGTATGCCGACCGCAGTAGCGCATTGAGCCGCGGATGATTGGATACATAGTCGTGGGATGAGTCACTTGTACACGGGCACATTACAAAAGGGGTGCGCGCGACGCCCCCAAGCTGTAACAAAGCGAGATCTGCTTGTTACCTCCACGCGGCGCATCCCAGGTCGGGAGACCGTGCGCCTCCCGTGCGCTGGACGAGAGTGGGGCCTCGTACAAAGGCCATGTGACTGGGCCTCGTACAAAGGCCATGTCAAACGGGGGTGCAACATTGAAGATCAGGTCATCGACAGCAGGTACATTGAGCGTCATCATTGGACATTTAGGCCATGTCCCAGAGCAGGTAAATATGCACATAGCTGTGGACATGTACCACATCAGTGCATTGAATTCAGAATCCAACTGCGACTCGAAATATGAAGCCCAAATTCATTGATCAGAAAATGAGCCAAGACGTGGACATGCTGCGTGTGTGACTTCCTCAACGACTGCTGTGAGGAGGGCTGTCTGAATTGGCATGGGCTTCAAAGTCAAAATGATGTGAGAATGATTCAGGATGGGTCGCATGGACGTGTGATATTGAGTCTTTTCAACATTAACGTCTAGACGTCATCAGAAAACGTCATTAACGTCTAGACATCAGATCTGATGGTTTTATATTGTTTTCTGGTGGCCTGACAGCCAGAATGGCGACATGACCTTTTTGCTGAATGAACATAAGAAGTGGTATCTGTATTACCATGCACTGATACAGATGGAAACGTCGTGGACAGGCTTGGTTTTTACGTTTACGTTTACGTTCTTACTTTTACGTTTTTACGCGTAAAAACGTAAATTTGCAAAAGAACCTATTTTTACGGCTATTTTTACGTTTTTACGGCTCCCTGGGAACCCCAGATTACATGATGAAAGTTGCGCACAATGATCAGTCCTCCGCCGTATCCAGCACCCACAACACAATGCCCACCTCGCCCTTGGCAAGGGCGGTGATGGTGTTTAACAAAAAAACTCGTTTTCTGCCCCTTCCAGGGCGTCTGGCTGCCACTCTCCGGACTCCGTAAGTCTGTATGTACTGTCCTTATGTACACCAGGCAGTTTTTACGTTGTATTTACGTATTTTTACGCATTTTTATGCGTAAAAACGTAAAAACTGTTTTTGCGCGTAAAAACGTAAACACGATCAGTTTTTACGGCGTAAAAACCAAGCCTGGTCGTGGATGCTCTGGCTGAGTGACATCATGTCGCTCGAATCGCGATAGTGGCAGCCGTGTGAAGTGCGGCAGTTTTTCAATCGAATCTGATGTGCCAAAGAGCGGAGCGTTGGAATGGCACTCTTTAAAACCTGGGCTACGTGTTGAGTGGGGGTGGTACAATTTTTGCATGACGGTTATGTGAGCGGCTGGTAATAGCCTACAAAATGGGACACCTGGTCGGGGATAGGACAGGCTGGGAGGCCCAGATATGATAGCACAGTTTATGGATCAGTGCAGTTTTGTTGTGCGGACATGAACAAGTTATCGAGGGGCTATTTTGTGTGGCTGCCGCGACATGTGCGGCGCCACAAGGTCGCGCTGCCCGATTTTGGAGGGGGTGCAGCGGAACGAACAACAGTTTGTGAAGCTGTAAACACCTTGTTGGCGTTCTCTGAGTGTGTCGCCTTTACACACAGGTCGTGGCGTGTTGCCTAAACAGTCTGGCTTGAAAGCCAGCGGTCTTCGCTCCCAAACGTTCGGATTTCGCGCAGTACACCCATGGGATTCTAATTGTTCGAGTTGCATGGGTTTCTGAGTGAATCTGTGTGAATCTCGCGTTTTTGTTGGCGTTTCTGTCCATACCCTTTCGATTTGCATGTGCCTCAATGCCCAAGACAATGGGCTGTTTTGTGCCCGGATTTGGGGAGTGGAATCGCCAGTGACATGCATGCAAAATGGCTGAGCGTCCCTGATACCGTTCCCCGTTTGTCAACGAACTCAGGCAGGAGACAGGCGTACCTTTCAGATATGATCGTGCACAAGATGTCCTGGGGCCAGACTGGGATATCGCTACACTGCAAATGGAGGCCATTATGAGCACTGCCCACAGTGCCGTGGTGCCACGAGTGTAGGCGAACCTGGATAATGTTCTCCGGGATTGTGGTCGATCGTGGGTGAACTTGGGGTTTTGCTCTCCTGGATTGTGACCTGCCTGCCCGCATCCATAACCTCCAACTTCCTGCTTGGAAACCCCCATCAGCAGACAGGCAGGGCGATGGGAAGTAGTCCAGCAGGGCAGCGGCGGATGCGAGGAGAGAGTACTAAGCGCAAGTCTCTGGTGCGCAGCGGGAGTTGCCGCGCTGCTGCATGACCACAGTGTGGTCTCCAGCGGACCAGGGCGGGCGCGGATCCATGATCAGAAGACACGTGATGCGCACATGTCTGGCGGAGGCACCCCCTGCTCGTTAGGAATAGCTGACTGAGGGACAACGCACCGTCCCGCTCCCGCCATGTCGTCCGGTTGTGGGGTCGTGGCCATTACAGGACGGCCACCCTGGCTGGCGGATTCCCATCATGCTTTTCCCGTACAGTACGCCGGTTGTTGCTGGTCGCCTGTTTTCAGGGCGCAACCCAGCACCCCTGCCTCTCTAGTACACAGGCCCCCCGCCCTGCCACCACATATGCGGCCCTGAGGGGACAGGGCCAGCGGCGGGCGAGCGGAGGGGCGAGCGAGGCGGGGGACGGCGGACATGACGCTGCCATGGCACTCGGAGGCCGACATGCCGTGCAGGAGGAGGATCCTGCAGGAGCTGTGAGTCTCGCGGGCATCGCCGGAACTGGGCTGCGAAACGGGCTGCGGCCCCCCGCCCATCCTACTGTGTCTTGACCCAGCGGGGACTCGGCGGCCCGCCTTCGGCGTGATGCCGTCCATGTCAGTGCCGGGGTCCGCCGCCCTTGGCTGATTCCGTTTGAGCGCACAAATTTCTCCCACAGGCCCCCTGCGGCCTCGCTCGGCGCGGCTTGAGAATTTTTTGAACCACCCCCTCCGCCGCGGGGCGCTGGGATGGCGCCTGATGAGCGCTGACACGTGCCCGCTTGTGCCTGGCGCTTGCAGCCTGAACTTCTTCACCCGCTGCCCGCAAGTGTCCCAGACGCCGGAGTGGCGGGACAGGTTCCCGGACTTCCTGCGGCGATTGGAGCTCACGCTCTACCTGAACGCAGACTGCAGGGTGAGTGAACGCGAGGTGCGCGGGCCGTCCGGGCCGCGGGCGGCGCAGCCCACCCACTCCGCCCCAGCCCCTGCGCTTCTGTCCCTCCACCCCCTCCAACCCGGGGCTTCTCCACCCCACCGTCTCTGTCGGCAAGAAACAGTTTTCACGAATCCCCCCCGCTCCAGAGACTGCCCCATTTGATCACGTCCCGTTCGGCGGTCCGGGCAGGAGGAGTACGCGGACAGCAGCACGGTGGTGGACCGCCTGCGGGCGGTGACGCTCCACCTGCAGCGGCAGCGCGTGGAGCAGATGCAGCGCGCCGGCCGCCTGGGCCCCGGACCGCACCGCGGGCCACGGGCGGCCTCCCGGGCCGTCGTCCGCCCCCCTGGGAGCGTGCACACGGACGTCGCCGCGCTGTCCGGCCGCCTGCGCGGCCTGCGCACGCGGTCCGGGGGGCCCGGGCTGGATCCCGGGGTGCTGGCGGGCCCGGAGGGCCTGGAACAGCGGATGCTCGGCGGCATCGAGGCGTCCAGGGATGACGCCGCGAGCGAGGGGCGGGAGGGGAGCATGTCGTCCGGCTCCGGTGCTGTGTACGGGGTCGCGCCCCGCCCCAAGGCCGGCGGGTACGGGCCGCCCTCGATGCTGGGCCCCGGGGGGGAGACCACGCCCCGGCGGATGGTCGCCGGGCTGGCGCCCCATGGCGGCGGCCTGGACTCGCGAGACCTCAGGCGCAGCGTGTCCATGTCCGAGGCGTACTCTTACGGCTCCGGGATCGAAGAGTCGGGGGCGCTCGGGTACGGCCACCCCTTTCCGGGGACCGGCAGGCGGACCGGGGACGGATTGAACTTCGACGACGGCATGAGTCACTTCGGGCCCGCCGAGCTGCGCTTCGTGCCCGGTGTGGACATGGCCGGCGAGGCGATGGACTCCGTCGACTGCGGGGGCCCGGTGCTGATGGGGCCCGCGGGAAGGGTGAGGAGCCCGGGCTTTGGCGGCCAGCAGGGGCCGGGCGTCGGGTCCCCCAGGGTGGGGGATGAATTCTTGCTGGCGGGGGGTCAGGATGTGCTTGGGCTGGGGGTGGTGTACAGGGGCGCAAACCCGGGGCGCCGGTTTGGCTCCCCTTCGGTGGCAACGCACGAGATGGAGGGTTCGTTGCCAGGAGAGCAGCGCAGTGTGCCCATGAAGGTGAGGGGCTTCAGGGGAAGGGGAAACCTGGGCCGAAGAACAGGCAGCCGCGCCAGACGACGGCGCCGGTTGAGCACGGCTCACTCGCAGTTGCCCGAAGGCAACGAGAGATTCATTGATTCGAAGGCTGTTGAGGACCACCGCAATACCCAGCACAGCCTCCCCAACAATCGGCCCTTCTTGTCATCAGCATGCTCGGGGCGCAAATTTTGTCACAATGGAACAAAACCACACGAGACGTGCATGCCCTTCGCAGCTGGCCTTTTGATGCGCAAATGTCAAGTCCAGTGTCCTCAATCTCCTTTGCTGTGTTGGAAGTTGCTGCAATTGTGCCACTCAGCAGCACACACTGATTATTGGGATTGAAGTGATGACAACAGTTCTCTCTTGGTGCAGGCGTCAGGAACATATCCCCTCCCTCAACCCGAGGGCATTGACCATGAAGCCAACAAGCTGTATAGGAGCCTCAGCACATCGAGGGCCATGAGCCCGAAGTAGTGCATGGATGGTGATGGTGCCTGTGGAAGCAGCAGAGTGGAGTCAGAGGTGTTGCAACGAGGGTAAAATGATGGGATTACTGCACGGCATTAAAATGATGGCTAGGTTGGCAGGTGGTATGTGCTTGCTTGGGTTATGATGGAAGAACATCCAAAACGTCAGTTTGGCTGCTGCTGGCCTTGGAGGAGTGGCAATGACTTGTGATTGCAATATTGCCTTGACTCTGCTAAGTATCCTTTGATCGAAGGCAAGGACTCGCTTGCAAACGATAGGGCAGTCAGTTGCACCTCGTGGGGATGCCTTGTGGAGGTAAGAATTAAATGGAGATCTGCTACTGGCATTGCAATGACACTTATGTCCTTTGTTCTGTGCCTATGCTGCAAATCTGGAACAGCTTTGCTGGATGGTGGGCTTAGAATATTTGCCGCTGCGGACCCTCGGCGTGTTCCAATTGTTGAGGCTGGGGACTTGTTCAATGTCTGTCTTGAGGAGCTTGTGTGGTGTCCAAGTGATTTTTGACAGGCACTGGTGTGGAAAGGTTGCTTGTCAACAGCCAGTCATTTTGGCCTGTTGATTGCTGAATGCTGCAAGCATCAGAGTGTTTGAGATACCTCAAGGGTGAGTAGCTATCATGGAACATCAGCACGAGTTGGAAAGTGCTCTGCTGGAGGGGAGATGTTAAGAATGGACAGAGGAATGGAAGTATGCACTGCTGCTGGTGAGCTGTATAAGTGTCTTGTTATAATTGGCACACAGCAGAGGCCTTGTTGGGACAGTTTTGGGGGCCAGACTTCTGTCGCTCCAACAAGACTAGCTGGCAGCTGTGCATATACTAGTGTCATTGTGCATTGCGCAGCAGTGCATCGTGTGGCTGTTGTTGCCCTTTTGCCGAACTCCTTGTGCGAACTCTTGGCGAATTGGTGTGGTTCATTTTTTTCGGATAGGTGTAGGATTGCTGCACTGGCCTTTGGTGGTGGCTATGGCGAGGGTTCATGTAGGTTAGCGGTTGCTGGATGGTTTACCCCAAGGATATCTCTTGCCAGTGCCGCAGACTGACATTGTGCAAGAAATAACGAACGGACTGTGGCACGGCATTTGAGGGTGTGGGAGGGGGTGAGAGCTGGGGTGATAGTGCGGATGCTGCCAAAGGGTCAGCACTGTGCCAGTTGCAGGGAGCGGACGTCCCGGCATTGCTGATGCAGAGATAGTTCATGGAGGAAACTACGGGGCCAAAGGCTGGAGCTCGTCCCTTCCTTGGGGAATTTCTCTGCAAGTTGGCGTCCTATTTAGGGCAGCGTCGAATTTCAGAAGCCAGGAGAGTATTCTCGTCTTGGTGTCCAGGATAGAAGATCCTTTAAAGTGGGCGCAGTGTATGCGGTGGCATCTGTGCCACACCAGCCGACGGTGTGTTTGTGAGGAGGTCCTGCCAAGAGCGCGGCCGGTGAAATGGGAAAGTTGCTCCCGGAACTTTTCCCGGGTGCCGTTTGCGTCTGTCTCGAACGGTTTTTTGCGAACTGGCTTCTTCCCTTCTGGATGGTCCAACGGTGGCTGTATGATTGTAACAATTGCCAATTTTACCATCGCATTGTGTCATATTCGTGTTCTGATGGTCAATTGTCCGTCAAGAAATATTTCACGATTTTGCCACTTCAGAATTTGGACCATCACCTCAAATTTCTGTGCTTTCACGTCCATTCTGTATCCAACAGAAGCTGTAACAGGCCTTGTTGCGTGCCCATGGGTTGGCAAGCACAACTCGCTGACTGGGTCGCGCTGTTGATGACATCAACTTGGTGTTCTTGAGTCCATCGTTCTTTTGTTTGCGTACTTGTTGATTGTTGTGTCATTTGCTGGATTTGTGTGCTTGATCACGAGTTTGCAGCACACAAATTTAGTGTGCAGGCCTGCCTGATCTGTCCCCTGCTTATTCTCCTGTTTCCCCAATGTCCCTTTTGCTCTTGGCTGAGCTTGGGCCCTGGTTCCATCTTGCCGGTCGGCTGCCCAGACGTTCTGCCCCAAGCTATTGGTCAAGTTCATTCTATCAAACGTGCCACTTCGTACCGGTTATGTTTGGCACATTGCCACTGTGCTCCCACGTGTTCCTGCGTTCCAGCGCTTCGTGGTTGCGTTCGCCGCTTGCCCTGTGTTGCTCAATTCAATCCAGAAAGTCGAAACTGCCAGGTTGTTCGAGCGGCCCAGTCATCTTGACGGTAGTGTTTTGCAGCCAACTCAAAGTGGGTGGGTCATTGGCACTCGTGAGTCCAGTGCCTGCACTTCTTCCAAATAGTGACGGACAACTCGCCAACACCCGAGCATTCACACTGCAATTGGGAGGCCTGGGTCCTCATTTGGGACAACAGCTCAGTCGTGCCCCAAATCCCTCGCAGCATTCATTCAGCTCTAGCGCAAACTCCTCCACCCGTCGATGAGCGCAGTGATTGTGGACGCGATCCAGGTCAATCGTTTCCAAGATACTGCAATGCGGTGCTTCATGGACAACAAAACCCCCTTACTGTCCAGCAAAAAGGCTGAACAGGCATCCTTGTGTTCGGCCTCAGTGACGAGATCCACGGGAGGTCTGGACAGGTGATTGATGCAGCGAAGCGAGAGTCCCGAAACACGCAGATGCACACACAGAAAAGCGGGGACCCATATGAGTGTTCCCACCGGTCCAAAAAGCCACGACGGCCATGCACAAATTTCCCCCGCCACGAGCCCGGACGCAATCCGCGGCTCTGTTATCCCTTCATTTAGCGCCATTTACCCCCCCGCATTTTCCCCTGCACCCATGAGCAACATACATATCCGTCATATCCGTTGGTGAGCTCCCAACGCGCCACAGCCTGTCCGGGGGGACGTCCGCCAGGGGTGGAGCCTTTGTCCTCACCCGGCGACTTCCGCAACGCAAACCGCGCGACCTCCGCGCCGTCCGCTCGATCCCGCAGGTCGCTTCCTCTCCAAAGCGCTCCACCCGGATCGCCACAGGAGGCCCGTTCGCTGAAAGCACCAACGGGCCCTCAGCCACAGGCGTGGCCCCGAGGGACGAGCGGCACCTTGATGGGCCACGTGCGCGTGGCACCCAGGCTACGCTGCCGCCATGGCCTGGCCGTGGGGCCCAGTCCCGCTGGCGGCCGCGTGTGGTTCCCGGCCTGGCGGGTCAGGCAGCACCGGGCGGTGTCCATGGCCTCGCCGCGCCACGGCCAGCCGGGGCGCGCGAGGCAGATGCGTCTGGCGGCGATGCGGCTGGTGGGGGCGCTGAGGACGCCCGTCGTGTGCGAGGCGGGGATCGCGCTGCCTGGGGAGGTGAGCTGGGGCTGGACGGGCGTGGCGAGCTCGAAGTTTCTGGCACGCACACGACTCGACCAGGTCGCTGAGCAAAGGATCGGGCAAAGGCAATGAATGAGATTGATGGCTGCGCAGTTGCCTCGATGCGCAGCTATGAGGCAGTGCATTTCAGCCAGCTTCAGCCGGGCAATCGCGAACCCTGGCTGTTGATTTGTGGGCACAGTTCTGCTGCTACGCTGGGCCCGCTGCGGTTACCTCTGAACACCCTCTGTGCGCCGGTGCATTCCGTTCGATTTTGCTGCCGGAGGTTTGTAGGGATACGCTACTACTCAACCGTTGGCGCCTGTTGGGCCAGGCTTTGTCCACTCTCACCTTTCATCCCCTGTCCAGGACAAGGAACAGGCGAGAGATCCCCTGCAAGCGTTGAGGGTGCCACAGACCGCCATGGGCAAGGGCCTGGGCTCCGGGGGCTCTGCCACGCTGCAGAGGTCGAAGCTGGACCTCAGGAAGGAAGTCAAGACGGTTGAGCCGAAGGTGGATAATGCCGGAGGCGGCGGAGGGATTGGCAAGTCCGTGTTCAATGGGGGTGGTGGCGACGGAGACGATGGGGACGATGACGACGACTACTTCGACGATGGAGAGGATGGGGATGACGGGGACGGGGATGGTTTCTTCCGAAAGACTGTGCCGCACCTTTACGACCGGGTGTCGATATCAGCTGTGCTGGAGGAGTGGTACAGGTCGTTTGCAGACCTGCCGCTCATCCTGCGGAGGGCAGTGGAGATGGGGCTGTTCAGCTCCGCCCAGCTCGTCCGGTTCTGCTCCATGGATGTGCGGCCGAACATGGCACGGACAATGTCCAGGAGGCTGCCAGCAGCGGTGAGCATCTGGAGGCTTGTCATTGTTCTGTGCTGCTACAGAGGACGTGAAGCACAACTTCAACGTGATGTGTATGCTCATACAGTGTTGGGGCTCGACATTCAGTCCGTAACTTTCCAAGACATATGGTCTCTGGCCATAGTGTTCTCACTGACTGTGCTGGACGGGTGTGTGTGTGCTTGCTTTTGTATGCCAAACTCTTGGTTTGCTCTTGTTGCTGTTTGCCTAGTTCAAAATAGTTATTTCAATACATTTGGGAATTTCGTTGTTTGTTGCTCATATTCAGATTACAAGGAGTTACAAGCACTGTGAAAGTGCCAGTCTTCATCGTGTGCATGGATGCCAATAGCAGATTTGTCCATTGTTTGTGCACAGCTTGGGCCTGCAAGCAATTGTCAACCCAAAGCCAACCACTAGGACCAGAAACTCTGTGCCCTCCAAATGGAACAAAATCCACAGAGGAGCCATTCTTTGTATCGGCATGAGATACCTTATGACTCATTCGCTGCTATCAATTGCCCTGGGACTGAAGCCAAGAGGAGGATGGTATTATCCTATCGCGCTTGGACTACTGAAGAGTCGATTAGCAGCAGGGGCAGAATGGTCTTGCTCAGTAATACATGAATATTGTGCGCTACCCGTGCCAATTTGTCGCACAGTGGATAAGAACGAGAACATTGAATATTGGAGAGCTTGCTTGGTGACATTACCATTTTGGGCAGGGTGAAGGGCTCAGACACCTGCACTGCCAGCCCGCACTTTCTTTGTATGTGCCAAGTCCCATTGCTCATGCTGTCCCTGTGTCGCTGTTCCTGGCAGATGTCCCGATCATTTGTTGGGCGCCTAATGGCAGACCCAGCTTTTGCCCAGAAGCTTGCGCTGGAGAATTTTCTGGCCTTTGGTGCCAGCCTGGCATACGAGATGCGAGCACGAAGGGAACATTTCAGGGATGAGCTCGACTTTGTGGCCATCAATACATTGAGCCTCATGGCTGCCACCTCTGCCATTGTATGGTTTCTTGCTCCAAGCCGATCCTATGGCTCGTTGAAGAGGTTCCCTTGGCAGAACATGCTGGACGGGCTGCCCAACAATGTGTTCGACGCATCTGGCCCCCTGCGCAATTACACTGGCCAGAGCCGCGTCGCCAGCCTCTTTGCAAAGTTTGCACAGCTGAGTGGAGTGGGGGCCATTACTGGGTTTGCAACGTCAGGCCTTTCTCGACTGGCGCTTGCATTCCGCAGGAACAAGAAACCTGCTTTCACGCCTTCTGTGCCCATTCCTGGCCTGGAACAGAACATGCTGGGGATGTGTGCATTTGTTGGCTTGCATGCTCACCTGCGTTATCAGACTATCGGTGGGATTGACCGCTACTTGTTCGACCACAGCTCGTTTCTCTGGTCGTACATTGCGGCCAGTCTGTTGTTCAGGGTGGCCAATGTGTCGATAGGGGAAGCTTCACGACCATGGTTTCAGGGTACACGTTTGACATCCTCAAGTCCGACAGTTAGCTCACGCTTGAACGCACCATCGTTGCAGATGGAAGAGATGCAACAGCCAATTGTTGCTGAGCCCAGTGCTGCATCGTCGGGTGCAAAGTCGAAAAAGAGGAAGGCAAAGGGCTTTGAAATGTCTTTAGTGAGCACGGGTCGATGAAGGGACACAAGCAGTACTGGTGCGTTGGAAATGAATGCCTGACATTCTGCTAGGAACCTGGTAGCTGAGAGGGCTTTTATGGGATCATCATGCTCCTTCTATTTCTCCATATTTGTGACCATACATTGTGCCCTGCTATGGAGTGCAGCCCGGCGATGATAGATTGTTGATTGTGTGACTCGCTTCGGGGCACACTCGGATCTGTGGCACAAGTCGGATGATCTGCAGTCGCATCTAAGTTATATTCGTTCTGTGAGGGGTGGAGCTTTCTTTGAATAAAATCTTGCCCAGTGGGCTCAATGTTTTCGTGGCCAGGTTCGCAGCGTGGTTTGGTCTCTTCTGGGAGTGGCAAGACGTATTTTTTTCGGCAGACAGTCTGATGTGGGTCACAATTCCCAGTTTTGATATTCGTTGTATGTTAAAAGGGCTCTTTTGGAGGACTGTGGTGTATTGGTTGAACAACGTATGGAGCCAAACGCATGATACTTGTTTGAGCAGTCATGAGTACAAGGCGTTGATGGGCTAACTGTGTAAGCACCTGTTGTCTGCATTTGGGTGTTTCATTGGTGTCTAGTCCGAGCAGTAGCTTGTGGACACACCAGGGGCGCGCACCATTGCTGACAAGATTTCCCGGAGCCTCCCCTTGTGAACTGGGCAACCACAACAGAGAACGGCGTGTTGCAGTGTCACCAGCTGTGTCGATCTACATCTGCCAGAAGAGCATTGAGACATGCTATTCTATTTGCCCTGCAGCTTTTCAAGTGTGACCGCGACCAACGGCAATTTGCTGCGAGATGTTATCCAAAGTTCCGTTGCTTGAAATCGCCTCGGCTGCTGGGGCTTGTCACAAGACCCTGGCAAACTGGCTACGGGTGGCTGGACAGGCTCTTGATAAAGTGGCACACTAGCAAAGCTCAGCAGCTCGCTCACCACTCGAGTTCCAGGTATGCATCCCATCACAAACCCTGGAGAGAACAGGAGAGGTAGCAACACAGTTCCTGCGCAGGCGGACATTCAAGAAAGACCAGGGAACGGTTCCTTAACACAACTTCACCAAAAGATGTCCATGCTTCGGGAAGTTTTCTTCGATTTTCGCCTTCGCCCTCCTGGCACTGCTCTCCAGCTTGTTCCCAAAACCCGGACCAGCGCGCCGATGGATTTACTTTAAGCAAATGGAAGCGCTAGTACTCTATGAGCAATACGAGGGATTTGACGAAAATGTTTGTGGATGTATGTCGCCACTCCAGCGAGTCAGACGGCAGTACATTTGTGCTGTGGTCTTTCTGGCACAACTGTCCTTTTTCTTTTTCTTTCTTGCAGCTTGCGTTTCGTGCTTAGGGCGCACATGTGGCGCTAACCCACGTACCTTACCGCGCCAGACGGATGTACATCAGGCCTGTCCCGCTGCAGAGCCGTAATTGCCAGACCAGCCGTCACAACGGGCTGATGGGCATCGAATGCGGTCCTGATTGTCGGGCGACACCGCGGTCGCCTCCTTCCACGCAGGCGAGACGGGATGCGGCACACACACTGTTCGGGGACAGTTCGGAAACAAAGACACATGCACAGCAGCGATGGTGGGCCCAGAAAGAACGTGTTTACAAGAATGTCCCATGCGCATTTGTACTCGAAAGAGGGTGTCCCAGTCCCCGGTCCTAGCCACCTTTCGAGAAGCCTCCAGAGCTACAATCCCCGCACAGAACCCCCTGAGATTGTGCCCAGACGTCTCAAGTTCTCCAACACAGCATGGTACAACCCATCATACATTCCATACAACCGGCTCAATTTAAGTCCCCAGCAAGTGATTCCAGACCCCAGCAAGCAAGTCCAGTCCCCAGTAATCACGTTCAGTCCCAAGTGCGTCCCTCGATAGTGATCCAGTAATCAAATCAGTAAAATATGATGAAGTCAATAACGCCGGCCGATGCAATCTATTGTCCCGGCCTTGGCACCCCATCAGAACAAACGTACATAACTAAAATAGCTCACTTGATGGTGAATTCCCGGCTGAGCTCTTTATTCCCAGCTCAGGGCTCCGTTCCGGCTTAGTCACACGTGAGGGGGGTCGTACATTGGGGCTTGCAGCAAGGGCGGCTCTCTCCAGGTGAACTCCTGGACATTAAGCAATAGGACAGGACAACTAGTACGCCTTCAGCTCACTAATTCCAGGCCGTGCTCAGCAACTCAAACAGGTTGCGGCAGATCAGATCATCCAATCAAACAGCTAATAATGCACGCCCTCAAACAGGACGTCTCGGCACTTAGAAAATCGCCATACACGTGCGGAAAAACACTGCAGCGACCGTAACTGGGCTGCGTGCAAGGCACTGATCGTGTGCCACGTCAGACAGCCTGCCGCGCCACTGCCCAACATGTGAGAACGACGCCTCCCAGCAGACTGCAGACGCTCTGGTGGGATTGTTCCGGAAGTCTCCAAACTGCGTTTGACGGAACGGACCCCAGTTTTTGAAGGGCAAGGGCTGCTAGGCGCCCCGTGTCGCGGTCTTGATGGCGGTAGTGTTCGGCGTGTTCTTCGTGGGACACTCCTTTCCCGTCACGAACCAGTTCTTCGACCAGGCAGACCCCACGCACTGGGTAGGTTGCACGCGAGCAGGCGGAACGGAAAGCGGTTCGAGTGCGCGGCCGCCGCCTTGTGCTTGCCCTGCGCCAGCGCAACGCGGGAAGGCATATCTCCAACGGAAAAGGGACGACGGCACTTTAGCGGCATTTGAATCCAACTGTCGGGCAGGGTGATGTTTCCGCGCAAGTGATCGCGAAGGGGTGCCTGTGCTCTGTCAGGTTTTGGACGTGGGGTCCAAGATAACCCAGCAGATCTCTGACCTGAAGGACGTCTCGCTGTTTCTGGCGCAACCCAATGTGCTGGAGCCACACCTGGCGCTGGGGCTGTACGTGAAGGCCGGCAGCTCTGACTGGCTGTACAGAGGTTTTGTCAGCAGTGCGCACCCATCTGAGGTCATGCCTCTTCAGGTGGGGTAGCGCGAAAGGTAGGAGTGCAAGTTCTGGAAGTGGTTTTGAATGTTGTTTGCGGTTGCTGGTGGCCACTCCTGTGCCATTTGGCCTGAGTGATGGGGATTGTAGTTGTGGCAACGACGGAATTTCTCAAAATTGTGCGAGGTAGCTTATTCAAAGGAGCTCCCCCGCTAGATGTAGCCATAGCAGTGGCTGTGAACAACAAAATTCCAGAACATCCGGTGACATCCACAAATTGCCATTTTCCGCAGCAAAAATGTGAAGTAATGAGTTTGCTATCTTTGAATTGAATGTCACCTGATGGGCCGACATTACGCATCAAAGTAGTCTGTCAAGACTACAGAATGGACTTCAGATGGCAGAATGGGTGAGTTCACAAATTTCTGTGAATGTGCATTCCACAATCCTTCAACACCTGAGAATTCTGTGCCTGTGCAGTGGCCAGGCATAGTGGCAAGTGGCCTTGTGGGAACGAGCCCTGCTCAAATCGGGGTCTCCGTGGAGCCTTTGAACGAGGTTTCATTGAAGGAAGGCTCGCGTATAGCAGCCAAAGAAGACTTCGCAAAGAGGGTGGCGCTCAACTTGTACCACTTCATGTCTTCATTTGAGACCCAACAAGCAGGCAACCAAGTTGTGGTGCCTGCCAACTGTTTTGAAAGGTAACTTGGGGGTGCCCGACAAGATCACCTGTTTGCTTGTCAGTGTGCTTGCATTTTTGTCAACTTTCCCGAGTCGATGTCACATCGTTATGTTATGGCAACTTGTTTGCGATCTGCCAGCCCCTTCTTCTTTTCTGGCACAAGCTGGCAGCAGGTGGCCAGTTTACCACTCGGTAGCAATTGTGTGGATTTCTCTTTGTTGTCTGCATGCTCCTGGGCTCAATCAGCAGGAGCTGGGACCAGTTACACTGTGGGAATATGTGTGCAGGTGGTTTACCAAGTTCCAGGAGAAATTCAGGAGAGACCCAGACTTCCTGACACGCACTGACAGCACCTGATGGTGTTGAGCAATGGCTAGATTGGGAACCCACCACCTCAGTTGTCAATTCTACTTGCAGATCCAAGGATTCGATGACATCTTCAGCTTCTTGCATGGTGGTCAGCAGAATGCTGCCAGTCCAAGGGCTTTTGGCCTTTGAAAGGGTAGCAGCACGATGGATGTAGCATCTAGGGAGAGCAAGTATGCCTGTAAGGCATGTTGTACCTATTGGGAAGATTACCTGTAGGCTGCATGGCAGTGCAAATTTGAGGGAGGTACTTCTCGTTGCCCGTCACCTAGCGATCATATGTGGGTGCCTGCTTCTTCACAGAGGCAGTGAGGAGCAGCGACAGTCAAGGGAGAGAGATAAACTGCCTTCTGGTTGCCTCTGTGTGGGCATTGTGAGGGCTTGGGAGTTGAAAACTGCAGTGGTGTTGCTGGCTGCCAAGAGTTTATGTAAATTCTTTTTCCATGTTCACAAGGATGTCTGGCTTCTGGATCCATGTTGTGTTGCTGTTGCGTCAGAAAAGTCCTCGGCCTCAAAGGGATGCTGGAGCACACTGCCAAATATGGCTGGGAACCGAATGCATCGTTCAGAAACACCAACAGCTCACAATGCTGCTTGGGGCCTTCATAGCCTACTTGTTCCTCGCATGTCAAGGGCACATGCCCTGGGCAAGGTGGCTCGAGTCAACATACTTGTTGGGGTGGGGGGAAGCCATTACTTCGTTCTGCGTTAAATACATCGTTGTGCAGGTCATTCCCTACTCCCCCTTACTGAAGCATGGGTCTGCAAACTAGAGCCTGAGCGGACACATGCCAAACGATTGCAAGCTTGTGTATGCCAGAAATTACCTTGCAAATACAACGCCAACCAGCTTTGCACCCTACATCCTCGCCCAACAGCCAGCGGCAGAGGCCAGTCAGCCGTTTGAAATTGCCAATCTTGGACCCTGCAGCTGCAGGTGACCAGTACTTCCGTGCATGTGTCAACAGGTATGCCTCCGTTTCGGCATGCTTGAAGTAAACCTGCAGGGCAGCTTGACAAGGAACAAGCAAGCCGACCTGATGCACTGACTGTAGTGATCTATATCAATGGCCAGAGATAATGAACAACTCGGGAAAAGGGATATCTTCTGCACAATCTGTCAATTTAGATGGTGCAGTATGTAGGGCGATGCGTTACCTTCATATCCCTCGTCCACTTCTGCTTTCGGTCGTCCCATTCGATGGTCCACTCGTCTGCACCGTCGCTGTTCTCGTCCCCACCATATATGTGAATAAACCTTTGCGGATAAGTGCGTGTATACGCACTTATCTGCAAAGGTTTAGTCACATTAAGCCACAGGTTTGCATCAACAAATGCTCCATTCTCCACAACTCGCCAGTGGCGGACAAGCCCTGGCTTAAGAATGTATAGCAATGTGATGCTGCGCGTTCAGCTGGAGGCCAAATGTCAAGGAAGTGTCAGCAGGGCCATGGGAGAGACAAACAAAGATATGCAGTTTTAGGCAATTGGCCTATCACTTGAAATGTATCACCCTCTGAATTGGTGTCCTCTATTTTAAGAAGGAATCTCGTTACAGAACAATCCCCTGATGTAAATCACGAGGTCAGCGTCAGAATACTGGGTCCCAGGACTCCTTACTTCCTGTGCTTAAATGGGGTGCAATAATTTGGAATCCAAAGGCAATAGACTACGAGCTCTTGAGAAATAAAAGTCGGCCCTAACACCACTGAACGAGCTCCCATACAGCCTTTGCTTTAGCCAAACTGTGCATTCAAGCCTCACGTGCGCTGGAGACTCCCTTGGGTCTCCCACCTCAGTGTGTGGCAAACCGAAGTCGTTGCTGCCACCATGGATGCGTCTGCACAGGCGAACCCCCCTGTGCCGCCGCACATGGCGTGTCCATCGAGAGAGCGGCCGTTATCGCAGCGGGATTGGAAAATAGAGATCTGCTGGGCATGGGACGCGTACCGCAAAGTGCTGCCAAATCCACAGTACCTAGATTGATATTTTTAGTATGTTCTGCAACGTCGTGGGCACAACTTTGGGCGACATTTTACTCAGAACCAAAGCTTCAATGATGAAGGAAAACGCTGGCCCTAATTCAGAAAACAGAATTTACTTGAGACAAAAGGTGGAGGAAATAAAACTCCCATGGTTATCTAGTCAAATGGGCGGCCATCGCAAGTTGCTTCTGCACCCATCATTGCCTGCAGGATGCAAGGGCTTTGTCTCTTTTGAAAAATGCATTCCATGAGCTTACAACTGTTCCATGTTGAATGTGAGATATTGTCTATCCACAGCCAATTGCCTATGAATATTTCTTCAGAAGGTAATGCTCAAAACAGCAAAATGCCGCCACCTCTTGATTTCCCGACAGTGGCAATCTGTGATGGCGGCTGCGCAACCATCTGCGTGTCCGTGGATGCTGAAGGCGAATTTTATGACTATTTGACACTGGTTGTCCCTGTTTGCAGGGTCCACCCAGTCCAGAAAACGCTGCAAAGGCAAAGATCACTTCTGCGATCTCAGCGTTGATACGCGGGTCTCAAGGACAATCCAGTGCCACACCCATAGATGTGTTTCCACCTGACCGGTCTCCGGAACCCACCCGGTCATGTTCCCCACACGACAACACATTACAACAAAGGTGTCCATCACCAACAACTCCACATACCCGAGGTCCCCGTACTTAACAGTTTGCCCTTTCGCTTCGCCCTTACTTTACTTCACGTTTCTCCCGTGACAGCAACCCTGAGTCACCCCTTCCCCGTTCTGTCATCCACTCCTTCCCGTTGTCTCCTTCAACTCAACCGAACTCCACTCTCTAGGGCGGGAGGGCTGGGTGCGAAACAAGATAGGAGGGGGACCGAGGGGAGAGCCTAAATAGCCGCCCCCGCTCAGCCCCGCCAAAGCCCGCCAAGTCCAAGCCGCCAAAACGGGCGGACCCTTGGACACTCCGTACTTTGACTGACCCAAGGTACTAGGAAGGGCCAGAAACCCGTTTGAATACGATTGCGCCTGATTCGAAACTCGGCGCAACCCACCCAATGTCGTCCTGGGTGGAAATCTATTAACAAGATAGTTAATGTCATTTCCACCTGACCGGTCTCCTGAACCCACCTGGTCATGTTCCCCACACGACAACACATTACAACAAAGGTGTCCATCACCAACAACTCCACATACCCGAGGTCCCCGTACTTAACAGTTTGCCCATTCACTCTCCAAGGGCACGGGAGGCACCTCCGGGGCAGAAAATGTGCCCAAACTGGGCGTGGAGGTCGCGGGCGGTGATCATCATCCACCCGAACAAACGAAAGTCCCACTCAGTGGGTAAACGAAAAATGTCCACATACGACCACATGGAGTCTGACTTCCAGCCACCCCAGTCCCGAATGCGCCGCTCGGCGACCTCCAAAGCGAAGCAGCTAGACGCACCGCCGCCGCGGAGGCCATGGTGCATGAAAGGTTCACGAGCGATGGTCGGGTGCTTGGCCAGCAAGTCCGAAAACCAAGCGGCCACCATCTTGGAGCTTGGGGACGCCTCGCCCAGAAGGTGGTAGAAATGGCGAGGCGCTTGGTCCGTCTGGGCCCAGGCGCGGTCGCGGAAAGCCGTCCATCGAAGAAGGAGATCCACGACCTCCGGGGCGCCTTGGGTCGGCCAGGACCGAAAACGCAATCGAGGGGCCGCATCCTTGTGCAGCTTGGATTTGCGTTCCCGAAATAAAACGACCCCGTCAGCTATCCGAATGTCCTCCGCGAGAACGAAGTGGCCCGATTGCGCCCGGTTGAAAAAGATGTAGTCGATGTACGCCGCGCACGCCGCCCGAAGGAAGGCCCCGTCTTCCGTGGTCAATCCCACGTCGAGGATGCGAATCATCACCTCGATGGGCACAGGGCGGTGATGTTGCACGGGGGCTGGCGTATCCCGGCGCCATGCGCGGGTGAGGACACGGGTGACCGGGTCGAAAGCAGAAAAGCCAAGGTGCCCAGACATATGGTGCACCATGGAGATGGCCGCGAGATACTGCGGCAAAGAACGAACGCCCACCTTGCCTTCCTCACGTAGGAACCGAATGTAGCGGTAGATGGTGGCGCGACGAGCGGGCAGCGGCTGCAAGGCATGTGCCTCGCAAAAGGCCTGGAAACGCAGGAACTTGGCCTGCATAGTCTGCCAGGTGGCCTCCATATAGGAGGCAAGAAACTGTTGTGCCATCCAGCTCCGATCGTCTGCCAGCAAGCCATCCACTTCGGTGCCGTACAGCGGATGGTCCTCGGGGACCGGTTCCAAGGGGAACGGATCCGAAGGAGGCTCCCCGGCGGGAGGCGCCGGAGCTTCCGGTTTGCTCAGAGCGTCATCGCCGGTGGGGTCCGCAGGGTCGTCGGGTGCGTCCTCGGCGCCACATGGAAGGCGCGCAAATTTCAGCGCGGAGGTGGAAGGGATGACGGGAGGCTCGGATCCCCGGGGAGAAAGAGGTTGGGTTGGCGGGGGATGAAGATCTCGGCCTGCGCCATTGCCCGGAGGCGGGGAAACCAAACCGCGCTCGGCCAGTCCGGCGCGAGCACCACTGCATCCAGTTGCGGCCTCGAGGCGAGGAAGGCGACAAGCCTCGCGAGGAGGCTCCACGGGGGATTGCACCAGCTGCGCGTCCCCGTCCAGTTCTGTGCGAAGGCGTCGACGCCCGATGTACCCACATCCCAATGTTGACTGTTGTAGGCCGCGCAGAGGGCATTCCAAGCGGACGCAAATCGGTCCACTGAACAGGCCCCGAAGCGGTGGACGACCTCCTGGAATATGCGCAGATTGAGCCGGTAGTCCTCCGAAGTCCGTATACGCGAAAGCCTGTCCGGAAGGACATTGTCCGCTGACCGAATGTACTCGGGCTCCAGGAGCAACTTCCGCGTCGCACAAATAGCTTGCAACTGGCGAAGGGGCCTCAAGGGACCGGCTGACTTGGTAGTCATCGAGTTGAGGCAGTGGAGAACCACCTGGTTGTCCACGAGCAACA